ATTCACATCAGGTGGGCCATTAAAGACAGCTGACCAGTGCATTTGCTTTGCTACTGCTCAGACATGCCATTTATTCCAGTCAACATGGGTTGTTATGAACTGGCAAGTACAGGAATGAACAGCTTGTTGGCTCAGCTGGAAGTGAGTGAGTGAGGGTGGTGTGATCCAAGCAGACAAAGTCTAGAGGGCAGCTTCATGTATAAAGAACAAACAACATGCTTGTTTAGTAATGTCGTAGCGTTGGCTGTAACCGCATATTGGTGGCTAAAGTAGCTCAAAGTAGCATTGCAGTATCAACATGACAGACCTTTGGCAGGTGTATGAGTAGCAAAAAAAACAACAAAACAAACATTCAAGAAGAAAATTAATAATAAATAAATTAAATTAAATACAACTAAACAATATTGTTTATATATAACGTTCTTTCCTTTAAGCCACTGGTTCCAGTATAGATAGCTGGGAGTGAAAACAGAAAAAGAAATGTGTTTCATGGTTTTAATATCTGTTTTAAGAACAAACTTAAGCACCAAACCTGAATTGTATTCTAAGAAATTTGCAGGTTGTGCATCTGGGTGGGAAATTGGCACTAGCCAAATGCGGGTTAAATATCTGAATGTGCCGGGGAGATTTCAGACACAAAATAAAGATTTAATTTTGGGTGTAGGTCTGGGCGATGACGACCAATGTGTCCCTAAGCAAGACACTTAACCCCTAGTTGCTCCAAAGGTGTGCGGCCTCTGAGACACAGCAATTCTAAGTCGCTTTGGATAAAAGCGTCAGCTAAATGACTAATAATTATTATTATTATAATCACAATAAATGTTAAATAATTATGTCTTTCAAGTTTAAAGGCTGATTTTTGCTCCTGAGTGAAAGTTGAAGAAACCAGATGGTTAATTGTGGTTTTAAACTATTCTTTAGGGTTAGAAACACTGATGTCAAACAGTGGATTACTTAACAAATCAGAGGTAAAACATGAAAAAAAAAAAAAAAAAGATAATTTTTTTCCCAACAAAATTAAAAATCTTTTTTAGTCCCTTTTTCTCAACAAAATATCATTATTGTTTTATTACTACCCCTAACTGGGTGGCTGGTAACTGTTAACGTTAGATGTTTACATTTAAAAAATAAATTCTCACATTTAAGGGTACATATGGATGAATCTAAGGAAAAACGTCTCTGAGTTCTGCAGGCTTAAGTGATTTCCTACGTTCAGTGGGGGTGTGTCAGGGAGGTAGCCGACTTGCTAGCTAACGTTATCTGCCTTGCCACCGACAACAGTTAACGTTACTTAGCAAACACAGCGTTCAATTGTTCATTCCACCTTAAGCATTAATGGGAAAACACTAAAACGTTACTTGTCCGTACTCTGCCACACAGCTGGTTTAGCTGTTAACACGTTAAGTTATATCACTAGTTAGCTCTCTATCAGGCAGCAGCGAGCTGAATTGTTACGCCTCTCTCCCCTTTTACTCAGAGCAACGTTAACTAACAACCCAACATTAGCCAACAGTTAGCTACCCAGGACTGTGACAACATATTTACGTTTATTACTGGATCGGAGAGCTTTTAACGGTTAGCTTACGGGTTATCGATGAACAACACAATAGCTCAGGCTGCAAGATGCTGAAATTATTTTCAACATATCGCGAAGTTACTGGTTACAAAAAAGAACGTACAGTTCAGTTACCTTCTTGTTTAAGGAAGCAGAAAGGCAAAATATCACAATGCTAACCTACCTTCCAGCAACCGAGAGATTATGCTGTCAACGTTCAACTCGCTTTCCGCCATGTTTCTAATACCAACACGGGCAGTTGGCCCTAAACACTGACTTGTAGGCTCAAAACAGGCGAGCCTTCCCAGGCACGCACACAGAAGGTGATATTATCGATCACCCAAGTTATCAGCAGCAGTGTTGGACATTTACCCAAGTATTGCACTTAAGTGGGGCAGGGCAATTCAACAATAATAAATCATAGTATTTTTCCTAAATAACAAATGTTCGATTTACCTTAAAAAAAAAATTATTTATGCATATTTGTTGAAAAAAAAGATTATCAAAATTTGTTTGAATGTTTTACCTCAAATATGTAAAGTGATCCTCTATTTGGCATATTTCTGTTATATTCTGACCATTATACATTTATATACAGCAAATAACATAAAATATGAAATTACACCAGAAGATATCGCAACTAATATCAGAGTTGTGTTGGAATATTGAATTAAAGTGAGGTTTCCATTCAACAGATTCATTAGTACAAGGTACAATAAGTTTATTTATCATTATACAACACAAAGTTGTACAACGAAAAGAGGGTTTTGAAGTCCCTAGTGCTACACACACAGAACTCAACAGATAATTAAATGTACTGTCTATTGAAGTATGGTAATATAAGGAATCCCTAAGGTAAGGTATATTAAGGTAAGGTATATTATAAAATAAAACAAAACAATATACTACAGTTATTTATATACTTATATACATAAACTACTAATATACATATATTATAGGGAATATGCACAACAACCAAAAACCTTTCTAAGTAGAAATACAGGGAGAGAGAAGAGTAATAGAGCACTATTTTTCTGAACTCAGTAATAGAGCACTATTTTTCTGAACTCATTACTACACATAAACACAATCCCAGGTTTCTGTTTAAGACTGTGGATCAGCTGGTAAACCCAACCCCTCCTTGTGCCTCAGCTGGAAGTAATGATGACTGTGAATTGTTTTTATCTTATTTTACCAATAAGGTGGTGTCAATCAGAGCCTCTATTACCCCCACTGCCTCTTACTCAGAGGTTCCTCACCAGCAACAAGAGAGTTTAAACCAGTTTTATCCCATCGACTTGTCTGAGCTTTTAAAAACAGTATCACAAATGAGAGTGTCCTCCAGCCCACTTGATGTAATACCTACAAAGTTTTTACTGAAAGTAATAGATTCTGTTGGGCCCCATTTGATCTCTGTTTTCAACAGCTCCCTATCTACTGGTTGTGTCCCTGATTATTTTAAAATGGCTTGTGTGAACCCACTTTTAAAGAAACCTGGTTTAGATCCCTCCCTCCCACATAATTTTAGACCAATTTCAAAACTGCCTTTTATTGCAAAGATTCTAGAAAGAATTGTGTCCAAACAGCTGCTCACTGTACTGGAAAATAACAAAATATTTGAAAAGTTTCAGTCTGGTTTTAGGAAGTACCACAGCACTGAGACTGCCCTGCTTAAAGTCACCAATGACCTTTTAATGTCTGCTGATGAAGGCATGTGCTCAGTCCTGGTACTCCTGGACCTTAGCGCTGCTTTTGACACCATTGATCATAACATCATGTTAGACAGACTGAGACACTGGGTGGGGATCTCTGGTACTGCCCTAGAATGGTTTTCATCCTACCTGTCAAATAGGAAGTTTTGAGTGTCTGTAAACAACTATGTCTCTTCGTTCTGTCCAGATAAATATGGTGTGCCTCAGGGGTCGGTCTTAGGACCCATTTTGTTTTCCTTGTATCTGCTTCCCCTTGGACATATTATCCATAAACATGGCATTTCTTTTCATATTTATGCTGATGACACACAAATATACTTGCCCGTCAGATCCACAGACCCTGGAATGCTGAGTTCACTTAACAACTGCCTTTGTGAAGTTAAAAAATGGATGTCAAATAATTTCCTCCAGCTGAACTCAGACAAAACAGAAATCCTGGTCATCGGGTCCCAGCAGATGGCAAATCAAATACTGCCATCTGCTGGTTCCCTAGTAAATCACATTAAGCCTGTGGCAAAGAACCTTGGTGTTTGGTTTGATAGTAATTTAAATTTTGAGCAGCACACCACAAAGCTTGTTCAATCATGTTTTTATCAACTTAGAAATATAGCTAAAATTTGATCTATGTTAACTTTTAAGGACACCGAGACCATTTTACACGCCTTCATCTCATCACGCCTGGATTATTGCAACAGCCTTTTCACCTGTTTAACCCAAAAATCTATTGATCGACTCCAGACTGTCCAGAACTCAGCTGCCAGGCTTTTAACCAGAACGAAGAAATATGACCACATTACTCCTATTTTAGCTTCATTACACTGGCTCCCAGTATGTTTTAAAATTTACTTTAAAATTCTATTGATCACTTTTAAAGCTCTTCATGGCCTCTCGCCTTGTTATATTTCTGACCTTTTAGTCCCATACACACCAGCACGTACCTTGAGATCCTCAGGCAGAGGTCTGCTGTCTGTTCCAGAGTCTCGACTGAAAACTAAAGGGGACAGAGTGTTTGCTGTCAGGGCCCCGAGGCTCTGGAACAGCCTGCCTGAGGAAATCAGGTCAGCTGAGTCAGTGAACTCTTTTAAGTCCCTTCTTAAAACATACTTTTATAGGAGAGCTTTTCCCGATCTTATTTGACTGTATTTTATCCCTTTTATTTTATTGTATTTTACTAATTTTATATTAATTTTTCATGCTCTTATCTTGTTTTTTTTGTATTATTCTTTACACTTGTTAAAGCACTTTGTAACTTGTTTTTGAAAAGTGCTCTACAAATAAGGATTATTATTATTATTATAATATGTTGTTTTTAAAGAATGCTGACTGAGCAATTTGAAACACCTCTTTAATCCAAGATGCCAACATGACAAAATCTATTCATTTGTAATGTTATTCTTTTCAATTCAGTCATTATTTTACTGTCCATAATTTACTGGGAAAAAAAATTCCTAGAAGCTGACTTGGCAGAATTCTGTAATTTGGTAATTATTATGGAAATTGATACAGTTTTCAATTAGTACTTGCACTTCAAGGAAATGAATTCCAATTTATTACTGTAACCCTGAGAGTATGTTCATTAAAGCACAGCAGGTCAGCTGAACATGCAAAATTGTTTACAGGCAGGCATACAATTCAACATATGGAGGAACTTCTATTCTCCTTTATGTGAAAGCACATTATGGATGCAATACATTCTTGTCAAGATTGTGAATGCTGCACTCCTTGACCAGGTGGAAGGCCGAAGCCACCAACAGACTGTGTATTCCCTGGCTGGAGGGCAACTGCGTGGACAACATCTTCCAGAAAGGCCAGATCCCCAACTTTGCCACATACCTCCCTGCTTGAATGTTGCCCCATGTAGTGAAGGCCAAGAGAATCAAGGTAATTTAGAAAGAATTAATTTATAGTATTGTCACTGCTGCTGTCATCCAAATAGTCCCTTGGCTAATGTACACAAATAATAATTATGTGTGGTTACAATCTGTCAATCAAGCAAGCAAACATAGCTCTATTTAAGCCATTTTAAACAGCAGTATATAAATGCGAAGAAATTAAAATAATTACTGAGATCCAAACATCTTCAGAAAAAAATATTGAAGTCTGAGTTTTCTCAGTTTTATTCTTATTGCAGCCAGTAGCCTATGTAGTGGCCAAATGATTTACTGCCACTGTTGACTAAAGCTGATGATACACGGAGCAACTTTTAGAGCAATATTGTTGGGCAATCTTGCTGGTGGCAAGTCTGACTTTTGAATGGATAAGTGGAGGAGTAGTGGGGGAAGGGGATTACGGTAGTAATCTTTACTCATTACCATTGACGGGAACATTGCCCAGCACCATTGCTCTAAAAGTTGCTCCGTGTATCATCAGCTTAATAGTTGTTCGATATTATATTGCCAAACATCTGATCATTTATTTCTTGCAAATAAGAGCACATTCTACATTCACGACTAATCATGTTTAGTGTTGTACATTCCTTGTATCGAAGCAGGGAATATTTCAGCAAAACACATATGTCAAAACTAACATAGGTTAAAAGCTGACGCTGCGAGGAAGGTTAGGCAATTTGAATTAATCTGGCATCTTTCTTTCAGGACTTCCCCAGATGGCATTAGTAGGTTTAGGTGTTACATTTTTATTGTACTATTGTAACTGTGCACACGTGTGAATATTAGACTGACTTCTGTACACCAAATAGTGTTCATAAACATTTTAAAAATCCACTTCCACACCTTGTTTGCTTTTGGAAGCAATCACTCCAATAGTTTAACTTTTCACTCAAAAACACAAATGTCAACGCCATGGTGGCGCTATAAGAAAAGTCAGGGGATCACCAAAGTCATTAGGATTCATTGTGTGGGAACCACAAATGTCTGAAAACAATGTCATTGAAAGCCATCACTTTGCTGCTAGAATAGCAAAAAAAAAAATTTAATCACCAAGATAATCAGGAAACACCTGATAGCGCAGGACTTCTGATCATTTCAGTGCCTGGAACTATTGTTTGCAAAGTACCATCAAACCATGACTCAGATGTTGTGGCAATCTTATTTTATCAATAAATAAAGTAAAGAGAAATTTACAAACTTCTGGATTAGACATTTACATATAGAATATTTCATTATTTCTGTGTAGTATAAAAATTACAAATATATTACATACTTTCTGCACCATTAAGTAAGTAAAAAGAGTAGACATTTAATCACTTTAGTCTCTAGAACATGAACAGGCTGCTAGTATTGTCATCCCAACGGAAGATCTGAATCTCAATCTACAACTATATGCAGCTTTCGGTTAAGCTCATTGTTTTGACGGTTTGTTCTTTGAGCGACATGATTTTGTCGAGAGCTGAGTTTCAAAAGCTCACACTGACACCGCTTACTTACTGTTTACTACCTGCCTCAAGTGAAACAGCAGAATTAGCAGCAAAAGTTTGATCTGAAGTCTACTGTCTTTCTGCCCTCTAGTGGCCAACATTTGCTTGATGCTGCTTTAAGACTTAAATATACTGTTGACAATAATTTGATACAAACAGCTGCATTAAAAACCAGTTCCTCTCATTTCTACTGTTTTCTCCACTTTGTTTTTCCGACGCTGACTGCGAGAGAGAATTAGCCAGGCAGCAGTAATGCCAACCAGTAAACTGACAATTCCCACAATCACTGGCACCCACACTGGCATAGAGGAGGGACACTTGGGCACAGGGATGGTTGGTGCAGGACTGGAGCTGATGGTGGGGGTGGGGGTCACAGCTGGGCTTCGTAGGCTGTTGATCTTAGTGAAGATGAAGGGACTGGCCTATAGAAAACAAACAACAGCTCGTTATAAATTGTGTCAAAGAATCTTTTTGCAGTTGTGCCCGAATATACTTAAGATTCAACCACAGAGACCTACACTTCAATTCAGGGATTATGGTGATGCTGATGAGTTGAGAAAAATGGAGACACAAAATTTTCAATATGAAATATATAAAACGTTATGAAATAGATGCTGTTTTGACTAAAATATACATAATATAAAACCATAAAATTGTTGAATAATTAAGCTCATTATTTATGAAATGTCATTTCATCCTGCTTTTTTCCAATAACAGAGTGAAGTAATTTCTGTTTAACTTCTGCTGCTATTGTGAAAAGAAAGCAGTTATGATATCGTAGAATGGTTTAGTTTTATCTTTTTCCACATATTCAAAAATAAAACAAACCTTAAACGGCACATAAAATTAAAAAAGTGAGACACAAGATTTACTTAAAGTTCAAATAACTTATTTCCATAATGGTCCTATTATAGTTTATGATATTTCACCTGAGTTTTAAAAATGTTATGTTAATGGTTATATAACAATTTTTGTCTGTCATAATAACTTTATTATGAAGTCAGCTCAGACTTCTTGGGAAGGTCAAGCCTTACCTGCCCCATAGCCAACTGGAAAAAGTTGTGCATGCCCTGATCACAAATCGCCTGGACTATTGTAACTCATTGTACTATGGCCTTGATCAGTCTTCAGTTCGCCGATTACAAGTAGTTCAGAATGCGGCTGCACGCCTGCTGACAGGGAAAAGGCGCAGTGATCACATCACCCCTCTACTGTCATCTCTCCACTGGCTGCGTGTCGTTTTTAAAATCCATTTTAAGAGCTTATTGTTTGTTTTCAAATCTCTTAATGGGCTGGCACCATCATATTTATCTGATATGCTGATTTTGCACACTCCAGTCAGAGCACTCAGGTCCACTGACCAGCTGCTTTTAGACTGAAAACCAGAGGCGACAGAGCTTTTTCAGTAGCAGGTCCTAAGCTCTGGAACTCTCTTCCTCTCAACATTAGAGCAGCTACCTCTATTGAGAGCTTTAAATCACTTTTAAAAACACATCTTTTTGCACTGGCTTTTAACACATGCTGAGCTGTGACATTTTATTGTTGTTATTGTTTTTAAGTATAATTTTTATCTGTTGTCTGTTTTTATTGTTTTTGGCATGTTCTGTTTTAGAAGGGTTTTATTCGGCTATTTATTATGCTTTTTATCTTATGCTGTTCTCTGTATCTGTACAGCAGTAGTGACTGTTTATATACGTGCTATATAAATAAACTTTGACCTTGACCTTGACTTATTTATTTATTTTATATTCAACAACTTTGGTGACTGAACAATAAGATGATGTTAAAACTCAACTCTAATTGATAAATAATTAGATCCAGTTTTGTAAATCAATCAAAACATGAGTTGTGAGCAGTGGGATTTCATCCCCAGGCTTCAGAAATCTCGGCACATACCTCAGAGGGACAATGAATCTTGGAGCGGTCATATGTGAAGTTGTTGTAGGCCTGCTTTCTGCCTACAGGCTCAAGCTGTCAACACAGGAAGAAAAAATCTGTAAAACCTAAAAAACTCTTGCAAACACTGATCACAGTGCTGCAGTTTGGTCCATTGCTGCGCCATGCTCACCATGTTATTCCACAGGGCAATGGCCATCTCAGCATGAGCTCGTTCGCTGATGTGGAAACAGTCCACAGAGAAGAAACTCGGGTCAGCCTCACCTGCCTGGTGAAAAGATTCGATTTTCATTATTTGTCTGTGGATACCTGCTTGGATACATTTGTATGTCTCTGTAACTTACTCCAATATGAGGGATGAAGAGATTTTGTAAAAATGGTTGGAGGACAACAGCAAAGTCTTCTCTGTCGTCGTAGCGATTTCCAGAAATAAGATGCTGGGTCTCAGCCTGGGAACAAAAAACGAAATTGGAGGTATTAGAGGAAACCCCCTTTTTTGAAAATATTTAAATGATTAAAAGAGGTCTTTGCTTTTACCTGATACTCGTGATTGATTCTTTTAATCTCTTCTAGCTCTGGGGAATTTTCAGCTGGGTTGATAACACAGGGACAACTGGTTCTGTAAAAAACAGCTTCCTGTTTATTCTCCTTTTGCAAAAAAAAAAAAGAGGAAGGATCTTTGCACAGATTCTTTGATTTGGGATCTTCCTTTTTGGTCTTCCTTTTTCATGCCAAACTCCTTGAATTCCAAATTAAATCCTTGACTGATCACGGTTCTATAGTTTGCAGTAACAAGAACTGTAAGAAATAATTGTCTGTGTCTCATAACAACTGAAGCAGATATATTTGCAACATCTCAAATGTTCCCAGAAACCGGGGGTATCTGCTTGGAAGGATGTGTGTATGTGTTATCTTCAAGTGGAAATGAAAACTTTTAGGCTATAATATTGTGTTAACTGCAAATTAATCATAACGTCTACCAAGAGATCAACACAAATATTGAATACCTATAATCTAATCGATAGCGCTTTACTAACTTCTGTTTTACCAATTCGGAAAGCTTGTCTCAGCTTGAAAAAATCTTCATATTTCTGACATGCTCGATAAATAACCTTTGTCTTGACTAGATTTTAATCTTTAAGGGGAAACCACACCAGTATTATTTTTTGGAGGTTTAAACCTGCATCCACTGATTGTTTCCTTTTTACCACTCAAGGGCAGCATAAGCTTTAAACACAGCGCTGGCACATTTTAAGTTGATATTGCAAACCTGTTGCTTATTTAAACATCCAGCAGATACAGACCAACATAACGATCTATTTGGAGTTACAATATGCTGAAAGATGCTAAAACAAAAAAGTCTGTAGAGCTGAGGGGAACCACGAGCAACACCTTTTGCATTACACACACTCATGTGATTGTTAATGTGAAAATATGGATTATATATTTAAAATCAAGTCACCTTAAATGTTCTACATGAAAAACAACAAAACAAACCTCTGCATAAGGGAACAGCCAAGTGTGTTCCTCTTAACTGATTTTAGTGGATCTATCTGCAAGAGCTCCACAACATTAACCAACAGCCTTGGCACCTAAACATACAGAGAGAGAAGAGGGGAGCAGAAAAAACATTACCCACATGTACTGACGAGGACAGCAGATGACAATAACTTGTAGCGTGTAATATCTCACCTCTTTGTATAACATGTCCAAACTCAGCATAAGATTGTGGCTATAGTTTTTGGGTGATAGATTATTCTGCAGAGATACGCAAAGCATGTTTTTTACTGCAGTTCTATAACATACACACACGTGTATTTATGTATAATGCATGCATTTTAAGGAACACTTACTTGGTCTATGCAGTAATTGCAAAGATCATTTCCGCCGACAAATATTGTCACAAGTTTCCAGTCTCTTTCAAAATCCACCTCCTGTGTGGCATATGTACAGAAACAGAACAGAGACTTAAAGAGGTAAACACTACAGCCATTTTTAAATGACTTAGTTTTGGGGAAGTCTTACCTTATTTTCTCTCATTGCCTTGATGAGATCTTGGACTTGCAGTGGGATCTCTCTGGAACAGAACAAATACAGTCAGCAGGCCCTTCAGAGATGACAATGGGTCTTTCAAAAGCTTTACTCAGGCGGAGGTAGTAAACAAATATGCACATACGAGGTCTTAGCTCCAGCTACAGCCATGTTGAAGCCCTTCTGTCTTGATCCCTGGCCTTTGGAGAAGCCCTTTAAAGAGGGGTTGAACTTCCTCAAGATGTCTGAGGTGATACAGAAGAAAAATGATTGAGCACCAGCTGAGAAGTAGTGTACAGCTAGTTTCTTTCAGTCTAGCAGTAAAAGCCTGCTACATTACAGCTCTTCAGCTGGTCAACTGACAACCAGTGAAGGCTGTTATGCTCCCAGTTACTGTGTTATGTTTGTCTAAGAAACAGCAGTCATCGGGCCTCATCCAAGAAATTTTTATTCTTATCTAAAACATCTGCTTGTGTTCCAAATCGGATTCACCAAACGCTCAACTGTACAAATGTTTTTAGCAATAATTGCTTATTTTAAACTGATAAATGCCACCTGAACATCAGTAGGTGCAGTGATTGTGAGATTTAAGCATTAGCAAATGAGTGCCCTAATATTGCTTTATGTTCCGCTCAATTTGTGGGCAAGTGTCCTGATAGATGAATCCATCTGCTGAAAACCAAAATTAGAAGTCATATTAGAGGAACCGAAAAAAAATGGAAAATGTTATTAATTAACAGCTTAATTAATTATTAATTATTAAGTCTAACAAGTCGCCCCCCCCCCCGCCGTGGAGAAAGGCACACTATCTGTACATGACTCACATGACTGATGTGGACCTAAAAAAAATCCTATATATGAGGAACACAACAGATTCTGTTAAATCACACTTACCTGTACATTAAGCACAAAATGGTTTGTGTCATTTAGTAACTGCTCCATATTAAGGCAAAAAATGTCTGATAGATTTTCAATACTAGAAATATCCCTGTCAGATATAGTGACTCAGAAACTATGGTTTGCTTAACAAGTGGCATAAACTCACTTGGTAGTGTTGTGACAGTCTCCAGAGTCTGATCCCCTCCAATGCTGCAAGAAAAAAACCACAAACATCAGCGCAGTTCATAAAAATAAAATGTGATGGTTAATGTAAACCTCACACACAAGGCTTGTCGTACCTCCATGATACTCCTTTATACTCTTTATTGAGGTTCAACAGGTTATTTGCTTTGGCGCCAGTGCCTGCCTGTGAACAGAGGACAAAGAAACCACGTATAAAGACTCAGAAAAATAAAGTCTAAATGCTGCAGAGGACAGTGAGGAAAGTGAAACGCTGACAAAGATAAGTCTTCCATCAAAGACTAAACACCTGAACATAAAAGGGATGATCATCACTGGTGCAAGCTATCTGGCTGATAACAAACTGATTAGCAAGTTCATAGTTCAATGACATTGTATAGTTGATACCAACAGGTTCATGGTTGGTGCTAAATTGCAATTGAATATTTCACCTTCAATTCCATATTATATAACAAAAAACAAATGCCTATGAAGTGCTTATTATCTGTTGCTGCTCAAGTTAGGTAAAATATGTGTGATTTTCTAATATATTAATGATATATTTTATTTATTTATTATTGAAAAGAATATATATAATAAGAATCACTGTGTTACAACACTAACCGTTGAGGAGTCTCCCAGTGCTGCCACCACCTTGATGTCTGCTGGTCTCAGTGTATGAACTACAGATAAAATACATAAAAGAGATTCAGCCCACTGACATCAAGATGAACCATAAAAATGATCCCTATGCAAAACAATACTAAGCACTAAACCAGCTCCTATTTTCAGCATTTGAAGAACTTTGTCTCTGCTTCCTGAAACCATTTTCCCTCAGTTTAAAGCCACTATGTGTGTAATTTAAATATGATTATATTACATTTAATTTATCTTAACAGCAAACGTTTATAAACGTAGCAAATTGAAACAATCCAGGTGACAACTGTTCAATTAGTTTATTTCAGCCCTTTCATTATCAGTGTCACTGGTGGTGCATATTTGTACACCACACTATCTGTGTTCGTATCTTGTTAACTGTAGATAAAAGAGGACACTGAATCTCATATCAACTGTCTGCAGAGACGACTGTCCGTCTCACCTGAAGTTGGCACAGTGTCAGAGGGAGCAAGGTCCACACAGGAAAAGTCACTTCCCCAGTTCTGAGAAAAAGGAAAAGTCAAAATGTGTAAAATGACTTCCTGAAATGTTTTTTTGTTTAACCTTGTCAAATGGCTTTATCTGTTCTTTAGCCTTTCAACAGAATATCCAGAAGCAACCTTTTTTGTTTCTTTCAGATAAGAAATTATATGAAGAAAAAAAAGTCTTTATTAACTGATTTCATGTCTGAAATTGAAAAGCAGATATTTTGTACAGTAAATACATCGATCAGTGTCTAATACAACATTCTGGGGGACTATCCTGCCATTGTTTTTTGGGAGCTGAGACTGACCTAGGAGAGAGAACTGGGTGTAGAGATTACAGAACATATGTGGGAAGAGATCTGGAACAATACAAAAAAATTGCAATCAACAAAATACTATTCGGAGTACTATTTATCGCCTCTCCAAATCTAAGCTCACCATCTCTTTATTGTGCCTTAAATGCAAAACAAATACTGGCAGCCTTACACAGTGTCTTTGAACCTGTTCCAAATGACAAACTGTCCAGAAATGCAGAACATTTTGGGAACTGTGCATGAACTGGATCCAGTATCTCTTCCCATGTACATCATAGAAAATAGTTTAACATCTTGACATTCTGTGCAAAGAAATACTACCTTAATGGATTTCATGTAAGGCTCCCACAATCTATGGTTGGTGTAGGACAATAATGGAGCATATTTCGCTAGACCTCTTGACTTGTCTTATACAATCCAAGACTGCTAACTTAAAAAAATGCGGAAAACCTTTGTTGAAAATGTAAATGTGAATGAATCTGGCATTTTAACAAGAGCTTTTATATGAAGTACCTATATAAGATGCTGAGGCCTACCCAGCTATGGTGGTTATTGTTGGGATTCTGTGATAACTGACTCAAAATGATGTGCAATCTTTGACAGATGTGCCTTTAGAGAATCATGTATTTTGTGTTATTCTTTCTTTTCTTTTTCTTTTCCTTTATTGTCTGTACGGAGCTGAACAGTGTTATGTTTGCAATTGTTTTAGATGGAAAATGGAAAACTTAAACACATTGAGAAAAACAAGTTCCCAGAGAGATGTTTTTATACTGTGTGCTTATTTTGTGCAACCAAAAATCCCAAACCCAAACATGTCCAATTTTTATAATCGTATGAAAGAGAGAATGAGAATGGCCTTTTTCCTTGATAAATTACTTTAACATCATTACACTTGCAAAACTTTTGTTTTCCTTTCTGGCAGTGAGAATAATTATACAAACACTGTTGTCGTGTGTTTATGATGTATGCCTGCAGGTGAGAGCAGTTCAGTAAATGTAGTAGCTACATAGCCTGCTCCAAATATTTTACAAATACCAACCTACAGTAAAAAGCTACACCAATAGTTTGTCCTCGCTGTTCATTGCTTTCCTTTTTCCTTCCTCTGAATGCCAAATTTCTTTTTTATCTGGAGCATCAGAAACTTCATGGACACTTCTTAGATTTTTCCGCCATAGGCTCTGCCATATTCCTAGTTACCTACCCTGTCTCTACAGTTATTCCAGAGCCCTGTAGAGACACAGTTGCATGGCTTGACTGCAGACAACAACATTGCCAAAGAATATTAACACAAACTACTTTATTTTACAGCAATGGCAGATCATGGAGCGCAACAGGGCTCTGGGTTGCTCCCCCCTTGATTACCGGAAAACGAATAAAACGTGCCCGCTTAGGAATGTCTCTACAGAGACCAGATTTAAATGCTCTGGTATGAAATACAGAGATTTACCTGGTGGTGATAGGCTTCATCACCATTATGTAAACTCGTTTAGCAAGGGCTTGAATGTAACAGATGTTTATTTTTATGTAAAAATACTGCACTCCAAAATATCAAATATCAAATTTCTTTACTATCAAGAAACCTAGCAATTAGTCTAATTGCTTAAACACAACTTTAATTCCTGTGAAATGTTAACTTAATTCAGGTCTTTAGTTTTGTTAGACATTACATTACATTACATTTTATTTGTAGCCTACTACCAGTCACTTATCAGCCTCTCAGATAGAGATTACACACTTACTGTGATAGGTCCAGGTGTTGGAGAGGGACCAGCATATTTGTAATTGCTGTTGTTATATGTCCGGATGTATGGTGAAGTCTGTAGACAAAGGAAAGAACTTACATTACATGATGGCAGTCAGTGAATTTGCAGTTTCAAAATATAGAAATGATGACATGTACATTCAAAAACATTAGGCTATATACATTTAACACAGAATTTCCAAAAAACACATTCACCAGCATTTATAGCAATGACACACTTCCCTACCTTGGTAGGACATTTTAGATTTATGTCTGCAGTAAAATCCTGTGTGAAAGTCTTATTGCCCAGAGGTTCCAGCTGGAAAAACAAGAGAAAAGTGACAGCTAAGTATTTTAATTTGAAATACATTGTTACATTAAATGTCATATCATAATGAAAGCACTTTATCATGTTAATAGTCGCTGTATTTTAAGGTAGTGGTGTGCTGAATGTTCAGCTGAAATCAACTGCCACCAGCAGTCAAGCTAGTCATTATACTTTACTGTCCTTTTACTGTCATTACTGTACTTCTTATGGAAACTTAATGTAATGAACAATATTCATGTGAAATAAGGTGGCTGGTAAAAAAACTAAGTCTAGAAAGATTGCCATGTTAATGACTTGCGAACGTTCAGTTCATCAAGATGGTTGTATAGAGTTGGTTGAGCAATACTGTGCATTGACAAAATAACACCATATGCATTAAATTTGGGTTTAATTACACTGAACAACAGTCTTTGGCATCCATATTTTTGGTTTTCAGGCACCTTTGTGTTAATAAGTGCCAAGTTGGATATAGGCAGAGTTTCCTAGACGCGGTTACGTCTTGGAAGGTAACGTGAACGCTATTTACAAGTCAGAAACGTGTTACTAGACCAGTTCATCTTTACAATGCCTATGTCTAAGCCTTGCCAATGGCCTTTACTGAATTGTAACTCTATCATGTAATTTGTTGTCCATTACTGTTTGCACAGTTTCACAATTATTTTCCACTGAACACAAAGTCCAACTCCTGTCTACAACATGAATTAGAAATGTGTTGTGCTTACTGTATTATAGTGCAACTACACACATAGTGAGGGCAAAGAACAACACTTGTAGAGCCATGTGAAAAGTAATCTATAACTAATATGTATATTCACATTATTATGATGCAGAACAATATACCCTGGGAGATCGTCTCGGGTTACATATGTAACCCTTGTTCCCCGAGAAGGGGAATGAGACACTGCATCGGTGCTGACACTATGGGAACGCATCTGGGCGTGGCAGGGCTGAAATCATAAATGAAACTACTCCAATCCTATTGGTGTTGCTAGAACGGTAGCGTGTGACGGCTTAACTGGAGGCATATATAAGCACGCTGGCACACCGGACACATCAGCTCTTTGCTATGAAGCAAGGCACTCCAGGCGGGGTGAGGTGTGGTGGACTGACGCAGTGTCTCGTTCCCCTTCTAGGGGAACAAGGGTTACATACGTAACCCGAGACGTTCCCCTTCGAGGGAACTCGAACTGCGTCGGTGACGACACTATGGGAACGAGATACCCACTAGGCCACGCTGAAACACCCGGCTGCCCCCAGCGTGCAGTAACCGGTCGGCACGACAAAATGGAGAGCGCACGGGTGCCGGGTGCAGAAGGAAGGTCCAGACTTTAAAACCGGATGAAAGTGTGAGGAGTGGCCCAGCCAGCTGCCTCACACAAATCCTGGAGCGAAGTCCCTGCGAGGAGGGCCCTAGAGGTCGCCATGCCTCGAGTAGAGTGCGCCCTTACGGCCATAGGTGAAGGTAACCCGCGCACCTGATAGGCCAGGGAAATAGTCTGAACGATCCAGTTGCTGATCGTGTGTTTGGAAGCGGGGAGCCCAGCCTTGGGGGACCCGAAACTGCTTTCCTCCACCAGGAAGACCTCAGAGTGTAAATACTCAGCGCTCTGACAGGGCAGAGCAGATGAAGTCTCCCGTCCTCCGCTGTCACATGAGGTGGGGGATGAAACGCCTGCAGCACCGTGGACCCTGCCAAACTGGACGGAACCTTAGGGACATAGCCTGGACAGGGGTGCAGGATGGCTCTGACCCTCCCCAGGGCAAACACCAGGCATCAAGGAGAAACCGAAAGTGCCTGGAGATCCCCCACCCTCCTCAGAGACGTGATAGCGAGGAGAAAGGCCATCTTAAGGGTCAGGTGCTTGGCCTCAGCCGACTCCAGGGGTTCGAAGGGGGCCTCAGCCAGCACTTCGAGAACCACTGCCAGGTCCCAAGTGGGAACCCTGGAACGAGTGACGGGTCTCATCCTCCGGGCTCCACGGAGGAAGCGCACGACCAGTGGAAGCCTCCCAGAGGCACTTGAGGCACTGGGGCATCGTCCCACAGCCGAAACCCTTAACCCCTGCAACATCGCTGTAAACCCGGAGCGGGGGAGTAGTCAGACGTGCTGAGAAGGGCTTGCCCCAGGATTTGCATGACTTGTCGTGCAAATCTGGGAAGAAAGGCAGAGACTGGCGCGGAGGTGGCGCCGCAGGAAACGCTCATCCAGCTTACTCGCAGCATGTATGTCTGGCACAGCCTGCGGCCAATCGAGCTGGAGCTTGCCAACTGCCCGTGTCACCACCTCCAAGAGCTCATCATAGCTGGGTGCTGACTGATGACGTTGGTCCAGCTCCCAGAAGTCTTCCTCCTCCATAATGCTGAGCACATCCAGTTCCTCAGAACCAGACAACCGCAGCCTCTCCAGGCTCACACCTGGAGCGGGAGAAGCCGAGAAGCAGGCTCCCGAACGGGGAAGAGGGGAGTCGGAGCCAGCAGACGAGGAAATGGGAAAAGCCTTGGCAGTCCCGATGCCCTCGGAGATGTCGCGCTGGGAGCCCCATGACCGAAGCCGCCGCGCCGCCTCAGCGACCGCAGGGCACGAGCCACGGGGAGAGCGCATCCGGCCGTCTTCGGAGAAAAGAGCCGCACGGGACCTCAGCACCCTCAGGGGCAGGGCCTCGCAATGACTGCAAGCAGCCCCCTCGAGAGCTGCCTGGGCATGCAGCATCCCCAGACAAGACACACACAGGTCATGAGTGTCCCCAGCCGTGATGTAGCGCGGGAAGGGGAAAACCCCACTGCCTGAACTGCTCACAAGCTATCTCCTCTGCCAGACTTCCTTCAAGGTAAGAAAATTCCTCTCGTAGTTGTACTTTTCTCTTCGTAGTCTCAAACATGCCAGAGTGCCTGATGAATAGAAAAAAGCTGATGTGTCCGGTACGCTACCGTTCTAGCAACGCCAATAGGATTGGAGTAGTTTCATTCATGATTTCAGCCCTGCCACGCCCAGAGGCGTTCCCATAGTGTCGTCACCGACGCAGTTTGAATTCCCTCGAAGGGGAACTTAATTTACTGACACTACAATTAGTTAAATGAATCCACAAAAAAATTAAATATGCACAAAATACTGTAAAATCTTTTTCTTGATCTCAGATATTTACCATGTTGTTCCAGAGGGAGCGAGCCATCTGCGTCTGGGCCTTCTGGCTGAGATGGAAGCAGTCAGCACTGAAGAAGGAGCGATCCGCGCGGCCATCCTGTTGAAACGGTATGGTAAATATATGAACCTTAAGGACTATTTTTTATCAATCAGACCAGTAAACTGCAGGGCTACACAGGGGAGAAGTTTGGCGAATGCAATATAGTGCAGGCTACAGCGTAGAGGCTGACCCACGAAAAGTCTTTAAATGCATGGACACAATTTTTCATGAGTAGTTAGGCTCATAAATTTAACTTCTTTTGTTTATATTGACTAGTTAATGCCAAAGGAATAGATCAACATTTTTGTAAATACAGAAATAATATATCTGCCTTTTTGTCAAGAGTTAGCTAAGAGGGTTGATATGGCTGTATGTAAATTTAAAACTACCCCCAGCACCTGGTTAGCTTAGCATAACAACTGGAAACACAAGGAAACTCTGCTGATCAACACACCTGTAAATCTCACTTAATAATATGTTACATCTTGTTAAATACAAATGTAACCAGTACCGTTGAACAGAGCCTGGCTAGTGGTTTCCTGTAGCTTGATATTTAGAGTATTTCTCAAAATGTTGAACGAATCCTTGCTGTCTAAATCTTCCAGGGTTGTTTAGAGACATGCTAAAACAAGAGGCTACGTGTAGTGTCCCTTGTTTCACACTGAAAGTGAACTCAATGTTCATCACAAGTAATGATAAAAACAGAATACCAACAAATAGCAGTTTTTGTTCATTTTAACCGCCTACAGTAAGTTTATATGCTTTATGCTGACACACTGCAAAACATTGTACAATGTAGCAGAAATATTGTCATGGTTCTGGTGCTAAAGCTGTGGTTAGATATTGGATAAGTTGACTGATGGACCAAACTCCCATAAAGTCTGTGTAGTCCTCATGTGAGTGACACTGACCGGCAATCTGGGGACAACGATTTCTCTGAAGAAAGGCTGGATGACCACAGTGAAGTCTGGGCGAGTGTCATAGCGGCTTGACTCCACAACCTCATGCAGTAAACGCTTAAAGAAAGAAAGACAAAGTGTCAGTGCCCGAGGATGAACTGGACTCTTACTTTAACTTTAATCATAGTACAGTTTCTTTGGTCTTTCCTACCTGATAGCTTCTGTTGAGGTCCTCCAACATTTGAAGAGCTTTAGAGTTGGCCTTTGGTAAGATAACGCAAGGACACAGAATACTGGCAAAGGAAAGACAACACGGTGTTTATTATAGTTATATTATTCATATTTATTAAATGATAATTGGTGTCAAAATGGGTGCACATGAGCTTGAATCAAAGACAAACAGAGAAAAGTGGTACTCACTTTACCAGCCAAGTTGGGCATTTAAGGGAAGCATCCATGTGCATTTCTCTCAGTGGGGTTATATGAAGAGGTTCTAGTAAGTTCACCAGAGCCCGAGGCACCTGACAGAGACAAGCTCAATTAATGCTAACAAACAATCAACCAGACCAACATATACCTGGAAAATGTCTGTAGATTTTACCTCTTTGTGGAGATAATCCAGGCTGTCGCGAATATTACGAACATAATTCTCTACAGAGTAGAGAAGCTGTAAAGAGAAGGAACACTTTAATGTGTGACTTTAGGCCCCTCCAAGAAATGATGTGTGAATTTTTACTCCATCTTAATACTCACAGAGTTGTAACAGTGCTCACAGATGTCATTTCCACCAACAAAAATGGTGATCACCTTCCAGTCGGATTTAAAATTGATTCTCTGTACGGGAAATAAGAATGTGAGGGATCGTAGGCAGTATGAAGTGGTGTTTTTTGTGCTAGTCTATGTAACTTCTTTTAAAAAGCGAAAATTTGTTTGCTATTGTTTTATTTAAAGTAGACATAACATTTAAGGTCATTTTATAGTGGAGTTGGCAAGTTTAATAGGTCAAAAATAAACATCTATTTATAAACTTACAGAGTCATTCTTCATCCTTGCCACCAGGGCTCGCACCTGTGATGGGATGTGCCTTAAAACACAAAAAAAATATCACAATTAAATGACAAATATTTATTAAATTATTTATAGATAATTTTCTTCCTTTCAGCTTTAGGATTAATTGTGATTCCAAATTCAAGAATTAACATTGAAATGTATATACAGTTTTTTACAATAATTTTATATTGCTCTTTTATCCTTTTTATGTTAAAGCAAATACTTATATATATATAGATATGTTAAAATTGCAGAAATAATGCATTGTTAACATATGGAAATTTCTCTTGCAATTAACTACAAAAACAGAATGAAGTTTCACACTCAATTAGTTGTATTCTTCTTCCATGAGATTATAAGGTGAGTTTAATCATTTTACTAAGCTTTATTTAATAGTACAAGTTTTCAAGCTTAAGTCAGCTTACAACATAAGCAGGTATTCTGCGATTAAAAACCTCTGATGAGACTCACCTGCTCTTAGCTCCTGCTACAGCCTGGTTGAGGAAAGACTGAGGAGTCTCCTCCTTGCCCGTGCCAACAGAGTAGCCCGTCAGGTTTTGGTTAAAATGTTTTAAGATGTCTGTTATAACAAAGGAATAATAGTAAAAAATTAAGGATTTCATTGTGAACAGTGGCAATGACCATCCCAGAGCAACAAAAATTAATGTTAACATGTTATTTGAACCCTTTATAAGTGATCAGGAAGACTCACTGGGCAGCGTGGTGACGGTTGTGAGGTTTTCATCTCCACCAATACTGCAAATAAACACATAATATTGTGTTGGTGAAATGATTATATAAAACAACTTTCCAACTGAAGAAATATATGGCTACAGAATCTCATTTATATCAACACACATATAACATAAGCATTATGCTGCAATGTTGTGTGATAGTTATGTTGAAAAGTGTTGACTTACCTCCAGGACAAACCTCTGTACTGTCGCAGGACGTCCAGGATGTTGCTCTGGCTGGATGCAAGACCGTTCCCTGCCTGACAGATAGAACAGGACCATGTTTCAGTAACATGATGAAATAAAACAGAAGTTCTCAAAATTTATTGTGTATGTCCTTCCCTGAATAAACAGCAGTATATCAGGGTCTTCCACTGCTGAAGAATAGATATTAAAAATATGATTTCATTATACTGTTATACTACTGTCCTCTGTTCATCTTTCCATTCCTCTAATGTCATTATCTTATGGAGATCTTTGGACTGTTCATAGAGAAGGCAAAGAGTTACTGTTATGTAATTAAGTTTGATTTTTTTATTGATTAATGGGGTCCGTCACTGTATGCCTATAGTGCATATTTAGTTTATGTAAGACTGAAAAAGATTATGGTCCTACATTTAGGATCTATTCTTTCTGTTCAGCTTTATTATGTTGAATTCTATATTATATTTAAGGTATCATGGCTTGTATACTGAACAAAATTACAAACGCAACACTTTTTGCCCCTATTCATCATGAGCTGAACTCAAAGATCTAAGACTTTCTCTATGTACAAAAAAGGCCTATTTCTCTCAAAAATTGTTCACAAATCTGGTAGTGAGCACTTCTCCTTTGCCATCTTAAGGCACACCTGTGCAATACCCATGCTGTCTGATCAGCAGCTTGATATGCCACACCTCTGAGGTGGATGGATTATCTCGGCAAAGGAGAAGTGCTCACTAACACAGATTTTGACAGATTTGTGAACAATATTTGAGAGAAATATGCCTTTTGTGTACATAGAGAAAGTTTTAGATCTTTGAGTTCAGGTCATGATGAATGGGGGCAAAAGAAAAAGTGTTGTGTTTATAATTTTGTTCAGTGTATTATGTTCTAATATTTCTCTTTTTTTTGACAAAATGACTCACTGTCAGAGAGTCGCCCACAGCAGCCACTACTTTGATATCTCCAGGCCTGAGTTCATGGACTGGGAAAATACAGAAGACACAAAACCAAATTAATTACACAGCACAGGACTTTCAGAGAGAAATTCTACAATATGTGTAATTATAATAATATTGCAATAAAACTAGATAGAAATATTGTGGAATTACTATTAAAGTATAAGGAAATGAAGACATTACATTATTAGAAGCAGTTTTATAAAAATAAAGATGACATAAGAGGTAGGCATAAGACTAAAAATGATTAATCAAATAATAAATTGCTATAATATATATATATATATATATATATATATATATATATATATATATATATATATATATATATATATAATAGATTAGTGTCAAATGAAATAAAAACAGTGTTTGTTTTTTTGCTCAAGTCTGTACAATATCAGATTAAATATTTTGTATGTCAGTGTGACACTGCTTAATTATGCTGGTTTTAAAAACAATCTATACATGAAACGTGAAACATGAATACCGTATAAACAGATAAAATCTACCTGACTACATTAATGTCCCAGAAAAAAATAATTTAACTATTTCTAGTCAACTGAAAGTCACCCTGGTGCCTGATAGGTGCCTAACATGTACTGTAGGTGTAAACCATCTTACCTGATGTGGGTGTGGAGGGCGAGGGGCTGAGGTCCTCGCAGGGCATCTCTGTGCCTGTAAACTGACCGGACACACAGAGCACATGCACAGTTAGAATTAAACAGGAGGCGTACAATGCTGCCACAACTTTCCAGCTGAAAAAATGGCTATGGGCAAATCAAAATTGCACAGATTAATGGGTATGCTGTATCTTATTTAATTTTATTTATTTATTTATTTTTTCTTTCGTTTTGTTTCGTTAATTGTATATGGATGGGTGTTTGTGAACTGAATGAATTTTTAAGTTTTATGTGAATATTGTATATAGGACTTTTAATAATTTAATGATAAATCATGCAGATGTAAATTTTATTCTGTAATGTTTTATGACCTTTGTGATCTTAGCCCGTGGGACTACGGATGGAAATTAGCTTGTAGCTACGATCCGACATATTTACATGCATGTATTCCATGTTTGTTCATTAACATGTACTGTCCCAATCAAATAAATAAATAAATGAATAAACTGCCATCTGTCTCAGCTTACAGATAGTACTCACTGGGTGAATGAGAGGAGAGGCATTACTGTGGTCATATGAAGGAGAGTTTCCCTCTGTCCTCAGGAAGGGCCGGTCCTTGGAGAGGGAGCCAGATAGCCGGAGAGAGGAGGAGGAACAAGGAAAAAGAGGTGTGTTAGGAAAGAAGAAGGATAGAACATTAGTATGGCACACTGAAACCTATTTTCAAGACAGTACGTCTAATGACACACGTTAACATGCATGTGTGTGAGTTTTTAGCACAGTTACACACCTCAGTTGGACATGGCAATGCGATGATCTTTACATTGTCTTCCGTGTCTTGTTGGCCACTTGTGGGCTGGAGCTGAAAGACATCATTGTCTTCATGTTTGCGACATAGAGAACAACGACTCTGTATGTTTGTTTGTGTGTGTGTGTGTGTGTCTGTGTGTCTGTGTGTCTTTTAGGCCTCACCAGGTTAGTCCACATCTGCACCATCAGTTTGTCAGTTTGTTGTGATGCTTGTGACTCAGAGAGAGGCTTCCCACTCTGTTCAAAAAGACAATGTGCTATGTGTTAGATCCAGACATGGACTGTCATTATCTCAGAAGATAGGGACTTTTGGTCTTCATTAGAATTTGACATCTAGGCTTTGTTTCCAGAGGGGGACCTTGTTACTGGTAGCAACAGGATGAGCACTAATGGGTGATACAGGATGTTGTCAAAATTTGAGGCTATTACTGATGTTTGTGTAAAGCACTGGGACTCCTAATCTGCTACAGAGAACATAGATGTCCAACAAGGTTCCATGAGGGATCCCATTTTCCAAACTACCTTTTACTTTACTTTACTTTACTTTACTTTACTTTACTTTACTATACTTTATTTTACTTTACTCCAAAGATGCTACCCGTTCTACTTTAGCTTTAGCTTTCCAATAGGACGTTTTCACGGATGACATTTTAACATTTCACAGTAGGAAAAGGGTTTGAAAATTATGACAATTAGAATGGCTGACTTCCATTTAGCTGCTTTAGACAATGTTATTAGTGACACCTGTGCTTTCCTGCTGTAAATCTATAATCATTCTCACCATAAAAACTGAATGTGTCCCCTAATAAACATAAATCAGGAGTCAAGGGGTTGATGAAGCAAACTATCTACCCAGGATCTCCAAAACCTTGTCTCTAAAGTCCATTGTGAAAAATTAAAACGGCGGCACTGGCCTCAGAACCAGTAAGGATTAACAAGAGATGCAAAATGGTGCAAGTGAAAGAGATTATACGATTCAGGGGTTGAGGGAAAGTAACCGCCTGTAACTTACAGCGACAGATGAAGGGTCTGTGATGAAAGGTGCATCCTGCAGAATGACACTAAAGTCATCTCTGTCACTGTACCAGCGCTTCTTTACCATGAGCTCACCCAAGGACTCCTGCTCGTTGAAACAGAGTTGAGAAGAAAATGTTACCAAAAGGGCACTTACTATACACTCACTTGTATCAACTCAGCTCTACAAAGTTTCACAGCTGCTAAAACATCCAAGTACTAGCAGATATTTTGGGATGAATAATGGACAAACCTGCAGAGCTTGACTCCGCATGACCTTTAGAAGTCTGACTTCGCCTTCACTGTATGTCTCCATGCACGGGCACATCCTGTGAGCCAAACAGATTTACTAATTAAAACCTAATGATTACGGAGACGTTCTGTACTGTCATGCTGCTTCATCGTCACTTCAGCAGTTAAAAACACAGTTGGCATATTAGGTCCATTGTAGATTTTAAAAAATGTATTAAAAAACTCCCAATTTCCGGGTTTAAAGCATATGTGATAAAAAAAAGAAAACTCTATATAGAAATTTTTAGATGTGCTTGTTTTATTATAGGCTCTGAACTCTATTAAAAGCAAGGTATATAAACAGCCATAACATTTAAGCTACTTTCACCAGTATTGTGAGAGACTTCCTTCTGTTCAAAGAGATTTGGGGAAGAACTGCAGACATTTATAAATGACTAAGTTGTGACACATGCTTTCAAGTGGCTTAGATGCAGTCCCTCATACCTGCCTGTCTGAACGCTCAAGTCCTCTTATGTCTGCACCTACTCTTGTAACATTAATAAATGAAAAACAAAGTTATTCTCTCGTAAATTTACGACTTTAATCTCAGTTAATTCTCAAAATATAATTCCCCCTCCTCAGGGTCTGTATTTATTAAATCTACGATGGCCCTAATACAGTGTATCACTAAATCAAATAGAATTCTATTGGCAAGAATAAATAATCATGTCATGATATTGATCTATAAAGCTCACCTCAAAATTATTTTCTCATTTAAATGTTGTAACTCAGTTCACAGTCAAATAACTTTTTCACCTTCAACATCCCATATGCTGCGCAGAATAAATTAAATGGATTAAATTACTAAACTAGAGCCATTTTGTAAAACATCTGTTCAGATGTCACAAGATAAAAGTCTTGATGTGGTGTGATACATATAACTAACATACTTTAATAAAGCAGAGATGAGGAAACAATGTTTCACCAGAAATAGTGTAATTTTACATGTGAACTTACTTGTTGTGGAAACTATCATTCTCTACATCCCACAGTGCAACACTGACGATGGTCCGCGTCAGCTGTAACACATTGAGGTGATACAAAATGTAAAACCTGTGAATATTGCAAATACAGCAATAGAGACTGAATGAAAATACTATGTATAATCTGAAATATACCTGAGAGTGCAGCAACTGCAGAGCATCATCCACCTCTTCAATCACTGCTTTGATGACAGACTGAACCTGCAAACAAATACGACATAACTTTTTATCCATCTCTCAAACGTCTCACATGTTTTTTTATAAGTGTCTTGGCAATACTGCTAATTGTTGTGAGGTACTATGGGTGCTCATGGTTCTGACACAACATGGTTCCGTGTCAGGTAATAATTTGTGCACAAGTGAGAAAATATAAGGAAGCAGTCAGTTATAAGGAAGCATTTTTTCATTAATTATTTCCCTGCCTCTGCATGGTTGTTTTAGCTGTTTTGGGCCTTTTAGAAGATGTTGTTGTAATTATATAAACCAAATTACAGTAAATGGTAAATATGTGAAATAAAATACAAGATAGAACGTAACTTTTTAACGACTTAACACTGATAGGAATTAAAAACTTGGACTCTGTAACTTCAGTATTTGAGGCAACAAAGTTTAAAGAAACAAGTGATTTGGCGTCTTAGCTTCTAGCACATTATACATGTAGTTTTTCCGTAACAATAATTTCATCAATAATGATTGGTGTTTACCTGCTGCTGCTCACAGGCACAGAGCTCATTCACCTGAACAAATAGAAGGACTAGCTTCCAATCTCTGTCAACATTAATGACCTATAGGAGAAACACAAATAACATCAACTTCTCATAGATGTAAAAGAGGCCGAGCTGAGAAGATAAGTATCATTTAACATGGGAGTGCAGCCGCTGGAGCACCTACCTGATTGTTTTGGAGATAGAGGGACAGTTCATTTGCCTGCTCCACTAGTGTGCTACAAACCAAATAAAACAAGGAGACGACGTCTTCAAATCACTGGAAGAGTCAAAGTTAGCATATTTCTCATGCGTCACAAGTGCTGTCTGTACCTGTGTTGATCAAACTGAGGGGCGTACAAGTTGGGTTCTTCTGAGATAGGACTGATCAGTTCAGGATTGAAGAGGGACATCAACTCTGAAGGAAGGACATTAACACAAGTTTCACGACAAAACCCGGAGCTTGTTTTCCAATTAAACAAATAGTTGAATCAGAAAATTAATCTATAACAGTTTTGGTATTTGATTAATTGTTTAATTAACTGATTACTTGAAAACATTACTGGGTTACAGTGATAGAAGGGCTGCAAATTCACTTTAATCAGAAGAAATTCAATGTTAAAGCACACTTCGATCAACAAATGTGACCTTTCCGCTTTGTGCCACTCAGTATTTTATCTCTATGAAGTACCGGCAGTACTTTTTATTTCATGAATGGCTTTCAAACAAGATAACAGACCACAGACCAAGTGAATGACAAGTGTATTGGGGTTCACTGTTTCTAATTATCACAGTAAGTGTAGATATCAGTGTAGTAAAGATAGCACACAGTAGTGTAATAGAAGCTCGTATCAACCTCTTCAGATGAATTACACTGTCTAGTTAGACTGCAGGCCAATTCTAGTGAAAGTCACATTTTTATTTATTTATTTATTTAGCACCGGCAAAGATACTGAAGTTTTCCCATCAAGCAGCGGAAAAGAAATTAAGAGTAAAGAGTGAGGCATTCATGGACATCCCAAGAGGGCAGTAATTAACTTTTTAAAAGATTTAAGTAAATTATTTAAGACACATTTTGTATTAGGCCTCATAAACACTACAATCAACAAAATAAAACTTTGAATCTTACCTCTGAGTCTTGATACCACCGTGAACAGCTCAGTGCTGTAGGAAAAGAAAAGACCACAGTGTGATTATGTCTCCTCACTGTTGACCTTGTGGTGCAAATATCACTTGATTGAGACCGGTGCTCACCTATTCACATCAAGTCCAATGGAGGACAGCACAGCCACATCTGAGGGCTTAACGCTGTTAACTGAAGAGAAAAATAATAATAATTTGAATCAAATCTCAGCACAAAGATACAGGAGCATTATGCTTTGTTGCAAATCAGAAATAGCGCTTTGAGGGGAGGCTGATATTTACTGTATGAATGGATCAGTGGTGGAAGAAGTATTCCCATTGTTTACTTAAGTAAAAGCAGCGACGCATCACTAAAAAATACTCCATTAAAAGTAAAATTCCCGCATTCATAATTTAACTTAAGTAAAGGTACAGCAGCATTATCAGTCCTGTACTTAGTAGTATCAAAAGTAGAAGTATGCATTTTGCAGAACAGCCTTTTGATTCATTATTAATATTATATTAAAGGATTTGTATTACTTAACATGTAAGTAGCATTTTAATGATGGTGCTGGATTTAACTTCTTTTTATATAGGCGTGTTGTTTGATCTATAATAATGCATCATATTTTATAAGCTTTTGATCATATGTTTTAAAGAAAGGTTTAATAATAATAATAATAATAATAATAATCTTAGTTGGAGAGCACTTTTCTTCACTTTTCAAGTTACAAAGTGCTATAACAAGTGTAAAGACAATAATACCCAAAAGACAATAATACAAAAACAATACAAGATAAAGAAAAGAAAAGACTAAAATACACATTTAAGATAAATATAAAATAAGTAATATAGAATAAAATAAAAGGGATAAAATAAAGTCAAATAAGATCGGCAAAGGCTCTCCTGTAAAAGTATGTTTTAAGAAGGGACTTAAAAGAGTTCACTGACTCAGCCGACCTGATTTCCTCGGGCCGGCTGTTCCAGAGCCTCGGGGCCCTGACAGCAAACGCTCTGTCCCCTTTAGTTTTCAGTCAAGACTCTGGAACAGACAACAGACCTCTGCCCGAGGATCTCAAGGTACGTGCTGGTGTGTATGGGACTAAAAGTTCAGAAATATAACAAGGCGAGAGGCCATGAAGAGCTTTAAAAGTGATCAATAAAATTTTAAAGTCAATTCTAAAACATACTGGGAGCCAGTGTAATGAAGCTAAAACAGGAGTAATGTGGTCATATTTCTTTGTTCTGGTTAAAAGCCTGGCAGCTGAGTTCTGGACAGTCTGGAGTCGATCAGTAGATTTTTGGGTTAAACAGGTGAAAAGGCTGTTGCAATAATCCAGGCGTGATGAGATGAAGGCGTTTAAAATGGTCTTGGTGTCCTTAAAAGTTAACATAGATTGAATTTTAGCTATATTTCAAAGTTGATAAAAACATGATTGAACAAGCTTTGTGGTGTGACGGTGAAATACATTTGTGTGTCATCAGCATAAATATGAAAAGAAATACCATGTTTATGGATAATATGTCCAAGGGGAAGCAGACACAGTGAAAACAAAATGGGTCCTAAGACCGACCCCTGAGGCACACCATATTTAACTGGACAGAACGAAGAGACATAGTTGTTTACAGACACGCAAAACTTCCTATTTGACAGGTAGGATGAAAACCATTCTAGGGCAGTACCAGAGATCCCCACCCAGTGCCTCAGTCTGTCTAACATGATGTTGTGATCAGTGGTGTCAAAAGCAGCGCTAAGGTCCAGGAGTACCAGGACTGAGCACATACCTTCATCAGCAGACATTAAAAGGTCATTGGTGACTTTAAGCAGGGCAGTGCTGTGGTACTTGCTGAAACCAGACTGAAACTTTTCAAATATTTTGTTATTTTCCAGTACAGTGAGCAGCTGTTTGGACACAATTCATTGTAAAATCTTTGCAATAAAAGGCAGTTTTGAAATTGGTCTAAAATTTTGTGGGAAGGAATGATCTAAACCAGGTTTCTTTAAAAGTGGGTTTACGCAAGCCGTTTTAAAAACAATCAGGGACACAACCAGTAGATAGGGAGCTGTTGAAAACAGAGATCAAATGGAGCCCAACAGAATCTATTACTTTCAGAAAATATTTGTCGGTATTACATCAAGTGGGCTGGAGGACACTCTCATTTGTGATACTGTTTTTAAAAGCTCGGACAAGTCGATGAGATAAAACTGGTTAAAACTCTCTTGTTGCTGGTGAGGGACCTCTGAGTAAGAGGCAGTGGGGGTAATAGAGGCTCTGATTGACACCACCTTATTGGTAAAATAAGATAAAAACTATTCACAGTCATGATTACTTCCAGCTGAGGCACAAGGAGGGGTTGGGTTTACCAGCTGATCCACAGTCTTAAACAGAAACCTGGGGTTGTGTTTATGTGTAGTAATGAGTTCAGAAAAATAGTGTGTTCTCGCATCCTTAACCATGTTATTGTAGTTACTTAATAAATCCTTCAGACTGAGGTAATGGACTTGGAGACTGGATATTTTCCATCTGCGCTCTGCTTTCCTGCATTCTGTTTTGAGGCTGCAAATGCTGTCATTTATCCAGGGTTGCTTACTAGCTTTAGACGTAGGCCTAACCTTTAGATGAGCAGTAATATTTAGTGACGACAAGCAGATATGATTGAAGTGATCGACCTGATTGTTGGTGTTGGAATCAGACAGGTGTTGGCTTTGGCTCTGAAAGAATGTGCAAAACTTTGAAACACTTTGTTCATTAAAGATGCGAGAACACACAGAGCTTGGTGAGGCGGCATGAGTAACAGGCGAATCGCAGCTAAAAACAATACATCTGTGGTCAGATATGGTCATGTCCACTAATTCCACAGAGGAAATGCTGACACCCAGGGTAAAAACCAAGTCCAGTGTATGACCACGGTTATGTGTTTGCCCTTTGACATGTTGTTTGAAGTTAAAAGAAGTGGCCATATTTAAAAAGTCAGTTGCATTAACATTGGTGGGGTCATCAACATGAATATTAAAAGCGCCACAAAGAACAATTCTGTCATAATTTAAAACCAGAGTAGATAAAAATTCAGGAAGTGAGTTTGTTATGGGTGCTGGAGTTGGTGCAGTTGTCCTAATCCTTATAAGATTACTATTATTTCTGTGTGGGATGTGCACATTTCGGTTTACTGGTCTATGCGTGATGATGACAGGAATAGAAGTCTTTGGAACAGCGCTGGGAGCAGACGGCTTTACATGCCAGCAGGTGGAGACAGTTGTTTGTGGCAGTGAGGAAGAGTTCTGTTCAGTGACCGGTGGTGAGTCCAGGTGTGCTGCATGAATGATTAGTCATTCACGTAGGCCTAAGTCCTGAGGGGAGGACCGTACCACATGCTGTATGTGAGCAGCTAACATTTCTGAACCCCGTTTGTTTGGGTGAAGTCTGTCTGTCTTAAAAAGAGACATTCTTTGCCAGAAAATATTAAAGTTATCGACATAACACACACCGTGAGCCTACAAGGTAACTAGTAACCAGAGTAAAAAGTAAAATGTTTTCCTCTGAAATGTAGTCCAGTAGAAGTGGTGTGAAAAGGAAATACTTAAGTACAAGTAGCAAACATTAGTACCTTAAAATTAAATTAAGTGCAGTATGTATATGTATTACAAGTTACATTCCACCACTGATATTCACTGATGATACTGGAATAATAAGTATCCAACTGAAGATTCACCCTCAAAATCAATAATGAACAATTTGTAAATCAAATATTGCAAAGTTTTTCTACTTTGTACACATTCCTATCCACAGTAACAGGGAAATCAATTGAACTTGTGGCCATTAGTCAGGATCTAATAAACTTGGTCTCTATCCGACTCACCATTTAAAGGGGCTGGTTGAGAGGGCAACATCCAAGTGCAAGGCAGTCCGGTCGCTGAAACCAGAAATAGATCAAATTATACATATATACATATATATATATATATATATATATATATATATATACAGACACAATGCACAATCCAAAAAACTGATGACTGTCAAACATTCAGCTTCATTCCCCAAAATGATGATCCTTTACAAGTTTACCACAAGATTCATAATCTTTATATCTATTGCAATGAGTAAAAACGGCAGCATCAACAAGAGTGACAAGAGTCTTAAATGAAGCAAACCTGTCGTCCACGGGAGCCCTAGGACTGTGATCACAACCAGCTGTGAAAGAATCATCTCTCTGATTCTCTCTGATTTTGTCCACATGGATCTTTTCTGCAGCCTTCTTTCCTTTCTGCTCTCTCTGTTCAGTGGTCAGTCTTCTTGCTTTGTGATTATCAGTTATACCTGTCCAGTAAACTATACATATCATAAATATGCAGGGGGGGGGGGGGGGGGCGGGCTTACTTGTCCAAAGGACACTACCATTAGAATATCATAAAATAATGACACTGATAATGAAGCTTTTATTGAAATAATTAGTGAATTTCAAGGTGTTAATGTCATTCTATTTCTGGACTATCTAAGGGTTTTTGCCAAAGTTACTTTCGCTTTATACTTAACGATATTGTTCATTTTGTTACTATAAATATCTAATATCTAAGATAAAACATCTAACAACTAAAGACAACCTGCAGCTAGACTGGAATATACTACTACTACTGCTACTGGACTGTGCTGACATTCAATATTCAAGACATTTAGAGTTGCAAAAGGAAGTAACTTAAAGCTTCCAGCATTTTCCCAATAAAAGAGCAATTCATTATCTGTTCTGCAGATAAGAGAAGAGGCTAAGGTCTTTCACTGTTGGTTTTACAAGCTACAAAAAACACAGTCTCACTATTAATCTGATCTGTAGTCATGATAAAACTACACATCTGCATCTACACAGCATGATTTCAGTTATATAAGCTTCTGTGTCAAAACTGTGTAATTGCATGTGACAATGATTTTATTCTCACTTTTTTTTTAAATCAAGAGGCCGTGCATCTAGTCTGTTCTATGGATGCTTGAACAGGGTCATCAGCTATGGATGCTCAACATATCAGCATCTTGAAGGCGGACAGATGTTACAAAGTCACCCTGCTGCCATCTTAACCAGAACACCTACACATTGTGATTGATGCTTTGATGCCAAGTTAAGCATCAAATGCAGTGTAGACTGAAAACAGGGGAAACAGAAAATCCCTCACCAGTGTATTTTTTGTTACCACCAGATCAGAACTGAAGTTGTTTTATGTGTGGTTATAAATTTTTTGAGATTATTTTATCCTGCTGGTCAAACAACAAGGTGACAAGAAGATACAATAATACAATAATTGCTTTATTTTTGTTGCACTTTTCAATACAGGTAACAAAATTCTTTACAGCAATTAATGTAAAACATAGACAAGTCAAATAAAAACTTGTATCACACACAGTGGTGTACAACAAAGAATATACAAAACATAAAACATAAAAGTCGGTGTATAATTAAAAAAGGAAGTTGCTGTAAAGGTGCTGGTGGCTTGTATGCACGTTTTGTTTCCTTTGGAAAGAGACAGGCTAGCTGTATGCAAAGCTATTCCTTTAACACTTAATACAAGTCCTTGGCATGACCTTGACCTCTCCACTACAACATAAGGGAACAACAGATATACAGTATGGTGTGATAGGGCAAAACACCGCCTGTGCAAGGGGGAAAAGATTATCTTGGTTATTAGCATAAATAAGATCAGCTATTTATTATCTACATAGATTTTATGAGTACAATGAGAGAAAACAATAGTTTTTCCCTCAACCGTGCTCCATGTTGGATTCATGTCAGATGAGTTACATACACTTCCACAACAAGTGGACTAAAGTTTCTTCACACACTTTGATGTTTTAAGTGACAGGGTTAGAAAAAACATTTGGTGTCATTTTGGGAACAAAGTTGAGTTTATGAGTACAGTATATTTCAGAATAGAGAGGAAAGTAGGTGTCCAGTGAGTTACTTGTGTGACACTACAACTCCCCTCTGGACCTTCTGGGGCTTTTTGTCCCATAATTCAATGATACATTTGTATTTACATCCACCTAATGACAGTGGACAGTACCTGAAAAACTTCTGCTCAAAGTCATTTTCTTTTAAATCGTACTGTGCACAAAGATGATTTGCTTACTTAAGATCTTTATGTTGTAATCGCGACAACACAGCCAGAGAAATATGTTCTTTTTTACACAACAATAATGCTCCAGTCCAAAGCTTGACTATCTCTTATCTCTCCTCTGTTTAAAGAGGTGAGGATTGCAAGAAGGAAGGGCAAAGAAGTTAAGAAAACAACTAACCATATTGTTTTTACTACTTATGTCCTTATGTCATAAACCACAGATATAAATACTGCCTCTAATCCTGCCTGCATTAGTACTGTATCAAATCACTTGGACAGTTGTATGCACACCCATAGAAACACACACTGTACACATTTAGAGGACTCAGCTGAGGTTCGGTCTGTTCTGAGATATGTAGAGTCATGATTTCTCATTGTCTCCTTCCAGCAGGTCATGATTACCATAATCCAGATATAAGGTCAAACTTCCTTTACAGTCTGTTATCTTCCCTGAAGGACATTAACTCTGCTGAAGCATGGCTTTTATCTCCCTGATCTATGCTAATCTTTGAACTGACTTAGTTGGGCTGAACAGTTTGTCCTGTAGTTACACTCTGCATATTCAGCAGCACCATGACAGTCATCCTCACTGTCTGTGCAAACAATTAAAAACATTTTGTTTTGCATCTTATGCATCATCACTGTCTTGTGTGATACTAAATTCTTCAGTTTACTTTTCTTTTTGGTTGCTTTTCAGCAAATGTCCTTTTAATTTAGTCCCTATTTTTATATATACTATAAATATTGATATATTAAGGATTTAACAAAACTAAAATTTTACATATGATTTTGCAATGATGAGCAGATCCAACTGGAAAAAGTAATCCTCTGATTTAACATTACATTTCTGTAACATTGTCGGAATCACAAAGGACAGATTTTTTTTAAATCGATACAGAAATTACATTACATTACCCACAATGCAACTTGACTGCTGGAAGGTCGGTCTTACATTCAGGTGTGTTGGTGTTGGGTATTTTAGCTTTGCGCTGCTAGCCTAAAGCAGAGATGAGAAGTTACAGAGGTCTCTGGTAACACCAGATTTTTGCAGTCTTCAGCCCCAACTGACGCTGACTCCAGTGACATCATTTGAGGCAATTTATCAGGTTCGTGCATCATCCTCTGGAGCTACAAAAGGCTTAATATAACTTTTTCTTAAATCAACTGGCAGCTTTGACGAGAGCAGGAAGTCTTCTGGAAAATAGAAGAAAAAAGAAAGAGTTGGCATAGCTTTCTACAAAGATTGACTGAGAGTCATTGCTTATTCAGTCTTTATAGCCCCTATTTATAAAAGTGAAGAATTAAAGGAGGGAAAGGGTGTAGGGAGACAGCACTGCCTTCATATCCCACCAACTGGAGCAAGATACCACCAGATGGATGTATTTGATGCTCAGAGTGCACAAACATAATTTGGCACCAGATGCATTCAGGAGGAGACAGATCTCTATGTGGTATTTTGGGACATTGCTAATGCCTTTGGCTCACTGTCACATAGCGTAAGGTGGGAGGTCTGGTGAAGACATATGAAATGCCATGGGAGGATACAGTGCATGAGGTATTCAGAATGAAGGCAGAAAGCTTACTGAGCTGGTAGAGTTGGAGCAGGACAGTATGTGAGTTTGGATTAAAAGGGTTTGCGGTCAAGCCTGTTGGATTTTCTATTACACCTGTCTTTTTTATTTGGATGTATGCCACATATTACCAGGTAAATCATATAGTCTTGATTTTGTTAATCTTAGCTGTAAAGTTAATCTAGTACTTGATTGTAGGATTTTTTTTATAGTACATGATGATAAGTACTTGGCTACATATTGATGTCTGGGTAGCATACCTGAAAGTGTGACCTGTGGTAGCCTTGATCAATGCTAAATTGCTCTATATTATTCGATAAGAGCACACAATGTGCACTTTCTCCTGCTTTCTTTCTCTTCTTCCCAACAAGCTGATGAATCTGGAGAAGTCACCATGGCTGTAATATATTTACCTTTCGGCAACATTAAATTAATTAAACTAAAATGAATATTTGACATCTGACAAACCAGGGACTGATCTTAAAGGATAAGGCAATAAAAAGAACAATACTAACAATGTGTAAGACCATCTCTCAGTTCTTTCTGACATCCAAAACTTTCTTTTTTTTTCTTTAGGTTGGATCCTTAGTGACATCTCAGTCAACAGGTTAATTCATTTAAACTCAATTTACTTACTTATTTTATCAAGAAAATCCACTCAGTATCACGATTGCTGTCAAGGGAGTGCAGATGAGGGTATCTTGGAATGAATTTCACCATACAGGTGCATTATTGGTAACCATTCTGGTGAATTATCAAGCCACCATATTTTAGTTCAACAATGTTTAAAAAAAAAACGTAGCACAAAGTTATTGCAAGTTATTGCAACATCCAGTCCTATGGTTCAAGTCCATGATGTGTGTGCGGACGTGATCTGCTGCTCCCTTGTGGTCACTATTCAGAGCTGTGTTAAGTTACCAGATGTACACGAAAAACACTGCATTCAAAATAAGAGTATAGATTTTGTAATTGCTGGTTACAAGCATCGAGACGTGGATACTGGTACTTTAGTATGAACTACTATAAAATAAAAATGACACATATTATGATTATGATGTTTATAATTAGGTTGTTACAATTTAAAAAGGCCATGACTCAATTTATGTTTGTAGCGGGAATTTACTTTGAAGGTTTTGAGCGGAAGATCTAGTTGTGATTGTCGCTAACTTGATTAAAACAAACGCCATTGATTGGACCCGACTGCATCGGAGTTTGACAACAACAGAGGAAACGGGGGGTCACTTTAATCACCAGTAAAGACACACTGGTGAATAAACACTCTTCGACGAGAAAAGTCTTCCAACTGCTATTCCGCTGTCTAGTTAGCTTGCTAACGGTTTTACGAGGTGAGAAATTTGGCGTTGACTTAACGTTAACCGTTGTTTGGCCTATTAACGTGAGCTGTTATCTGGATGCCTTTTGACATTTTTTCCTTACAGGGCTTTTGTTCTCCGACCCCTTACTAAGTAGACCTTATTCCTGCTGATTTCCTAAAACAAGCATCTTTTGCTAGTTTATGATATGAAGCTAAACCACAGAGACATTGTTCCTTGTCTTTTACTATCATACTTGGCCTATGTTAATGATGCCTTCAGTGAGCGTCGTAAATAGTATGATTTCCTTTACAGCGAGTAAGCTCACAATTAACCTTAAACTGTAGTTAGTTTGTGTTGCAGGAGCAATAAAAAGGGGACAGTTGACCTCAGAGGTACGGTACTGAACAGATATTAACTTTTGATTAAACAGCACGTTACCCTAAATTTTATTATTTAGAGTTACATATAATGCAAAATGATAATAGGCTACATTACTTTGAATATGCATTTTTTACAGGCTGACATGGTCTATCCCTTTTTTCCATCAGGACTGCTTGAATGTCACATTTTTTAGAAATTGGGTGATAATGTAAATATGGACAAAATCCTCTGTCACAGTGTGTTTAATTTTATGTCACGATATCGATATTGGGAATTAGTCAACTTTCTGGAAAATCAATTGAGATTTTGATAATGTAAAATGAGGCCTAAAATGTCTTTGGCAGATAAGATACCTGAGAAATCAAGGTATTTTATCGCAATGATTCAAATTCAATATTGCCATGAATCAGTCCTGGTTATTGATTTTGCAATATGGCTCAAAATGACCAATACAACCAGAGATTTTTAAGTGACAGTTACAACAGTATAAATTATACAGCAAAGTCTCTGACGTCTCACAGTATTCATCATCATATTGCTCTCCCATAAAAAGAAAATACAAATTTCTTTTGTTGTATTTACTTGGTCGGGCCGTGCAGTGCCTTCAGCTGCTACATGTATGTGTGTTACATCATCTAACAAGGCTACTTTCTTTGTTTGTTTATGTTTTTACCTGCCAGTGGTCAAGACAAAATGGGGCGAATCTTCTTGGATCACATCGGTGGGACTCGCCTCTTCTCCTGTGCCAACTGTGACACCATCCTGACCAACCGAGCTGAACTCATCTCCACACGCTTCACTGGAGCCACCGGCCGAGCTTTCCTGTTTAACAAGGTACCTGCACATCACTTCCTTGGCCTGGATCACAGATAACAGCAGAGTTGCACTTGTTAGTTTATTGATTGGACCATGGTTAAAAGACATACATCTCAGTAATGTAAAGAATCACCCAGCATCAGATAGTAATTTCCACTGTAGTTCTTTGTGGTGACACTGTGATATATGTATAGCTCTGTTGATATACACGTACGATCAGCTACTCATTAACAGATAGTAAAACGTTTTCTTATTTGCTTTTCTGTGCTAGTAAGCATTTCAAAATCAAGTGTGATGCACCAATAGTCAATTAATTGATTGTTTATGGAATTTAAGAATTAGCATAAACATAACTTTGGAAATGGTTTTTAACAAAATAAGAGATAAATGGGTCCTAATTTCAATAATACAAAAAGCTTAAATGATGACTGTGAACGTCATTAGAGCTGATACAGTTCACAGTTCAGATAGTAGTTCACTGATTATTTTGATAGTTAATTTGTAGTAATTTTCCAAACAAAAAGCCAAAAGTATTGTTTCCAGCTTCTCAAATGTGAGGATTTTCACTGTTTGATATCATTGTAAATTTAATGTCTTTGGGTGAAACAATAACAATTTTTTTTTTAAAGACATCAGCTCGGGCTGTGCGATATGGCCAAAAATATACAAGACAAGTTTAAAGGCAGAGTTTTGCTCCTGAGTGAAAGTTAAAGAAATCTGTTAACTGTGATTTTAAGCTATTCTTTATATTCAAGGAATGACAAACAGTGGATCATTTAACAAATCTGTTTGTCAACAAATATGCATGAGTAAAATATGCATGAGTAAAATTAAGTAAAATATTTTTTAAATCAAAAAGATTAAGTGCTTATTCATTCGGGATTCAAATTAATTAAATCAAACATTAATTGAACATTTGTTATATTGTTATTAAGAAAAATTATTTCACTATAATTAATAATAATTGCCCAGCTCTGTATTAATTCTAGTTGGCCTAAAACATAATTTAGATTTATTTATTTTGCAATTAAATCTGATCCTTACTTATCAGACTTTGAAATGGGCAAAAACTGGCTGAAATTTCCTTGAAAAACCAAACCAGTCCTCTGTAGAAAAGCAACTAACTGTTACAGTGACATATGTCTGACTGCTGCCCTCCAGGTTGTGAATCTGCAGCACAGCGAGGTGCAAGACAGAGTCATGCTGACGGGAAGACATATGGTGCGGGACGTCAGCTGCAAGAACTGCAACAGCAAGCTAGGCTGGATGTATGAGTTTGCCACTGAGGAAAGCCAGCGCTACAAGGAGGGCCGTGTCATCCTGGAGAGGGCGCTGGTGAGGGAGAGCGAAGGCTTTGAGCATGTTCCCTCTGACAACTCCTGAGTTCACTTCTGTTGCCTTTACAATGCTCAACACGTGCATACTACAGCTTTTCCTCTAGCAGCAGTGCATGTACTTGCATGGACAGTGTGCCATTTGTGAGTAGAGCTACACCAAAATAAAATCGCAGGATGGGTCTTTGTGGGAAGTTTAAACAAGAAGTGGTGGACATTTTTCCCCCATTACTTTAAACATCTAAGAATTTCTGATCCGAAGGGTGTTGCTCCTCTACCCGTTTAAAATCGCCTGCAGATTCAATAGGTGTTCAACAAGCTGTGATGTGTTCATGTGCTGGGATTTTGGCTGCTCTCAGAGGGAGAGGATTCACTCCTGCTGCCTGACAAGAAGCTCAGACAGATTGACAGATTCTTATGTAGACGTTTGAATATCCATTAACGGCATTGGTGAATTCTGACTCTTAACAGTCAATTAGACCAGTTTACTTAATGAAATCTGTTTGCATAAGGAGTTTGTCACTTACCAAAATCCTTTCCTGGCAAGTGTTCAGTGTGACATATGCCAGACTTTTTTTTCACTTAAATTATTGTTTATTTTGAAGTTACCTTTCTTTAATATAACCTACAGATTATACCTTACAATACTAGAACATTATCAAATTACCTTAATTTTAAAATGTGAAAACCCTGTAATATTAATTTTTACCAGCTGGATCATATTCTCTGTGTTAATAGTACACTGAACCAGGTGTCAGTTTTGACCTGTAAAGAGTTCAGATATCCCCAGTTTATTTTATGTTATGATAAAAGGTGATCAGAACGTGTTCTTACAGTGATGGAAGAGAGGCAACTTTTGTCTTTTGCATTTCAATACACTTTTGATGCCAACATTCCTGCCATGTGCTGTTCATTTTTAGATATTTCATTTAACAGTTTCACAGTGACAGTGACAATTATTCCAATATTGAAATTGACTGGTGGCAATTTATTTGAATAAAACATAGAACATGTTTATTAGTTTTTTTGTGAAACTAAATAAATACATTCAAACTGTGTTTATTCATTGAATCTGTGTTGTCTTATAAGCCTGTCCATACTGAGATTTGAATATTGTGTCCTGCCTAAACTACTTCAAAATATTTATTAGTTGGTTTTTCAGTGCAAATTAAAGTAATTTGTGATCTGATCATTCTGTCCCATTGCCATGCCACTCACCAGTGTTTTTATTAAGCCTAAGCCTTAGTATATCATGGAGTTCATTTATTTCCGTAATTTAAGTCAAAAAGTGAAACTTCAAAAAGTGAAATATTTTTTTTCACAATATCCTAATTTTCTGAGATGCACCTGTATATTTGTTGGTACTACTGTGTTTTTTGAAAAGACTTGTATCATGAAGGTTACCTAAGCTACACATGTGTTCAGACTAAATACTTGCAATTTTTGTGATGACACTAGTTGAATACAAAAGTGGTGTGTAAATATCTGCCAAAAATGGCATCCAATAAAATCCTTAAACTTGCCAGAAACATACAGCTACTACCTTACCGTTAACTGTTCCTGTCCAGAGCAAAGAGCAAAACTTAAGACACCTTACTTTATAAAGCAATTCAGTACAACACCACAAACAACCGCCTTAAAATGACACTTTGAGCTGATCTAATCTAATCTAATAAACCTGTCTGATTCATCAAAATTGTCTGACAAAGCCCCCCAAAATAAGTCATATTCTTATTCTAAATTCTTTATTGGCTTTTTGGTCATCTTAAATAAACAAAATAACAGTCAGGAAATCCCTTCCCTCCACCTCTCAACAAACAAACTTGGGAAGAAAACTCCACAAAATTTTTTTTGCACTAAATATATCAGTTAAGTATAACAAGTAAAGCAAACAAGAAGAAAATGCCCTGTTACTTGTGATTCAGTAGGGGATTACGTCATAAAGGGTATTTTTAGAGATACAAAAAAATCCAGATGTGGATTGTCCTGGCGGGAATGTGCCGCTCCCTTTTTATATACAGTCTATAGCCGCTCCGCGCTGTTATTCTCAACTTCAAACGTTTGGTTTCGGCCCAGGCCAAACATTTTATCATTCCGGATCAACAGTAAATATCTGTGGGAGTAGTTTAATATATTTTAAGATTCTACTGATATCAAGTAAAAAAAACGATGTTTTGATTCTTCACCTAAAGTTTGTGTGGGGGAAATACCGGGAAATAAATAGAGACCGAATGTCAGATAAATGTGAAGGCGTTAAAAACAAACACACCCTACATTACAGTCTACTGGCGCGCTGCATTCTGGGAAATGCAGGAAGTAGGAATCACTGCTGGAACATCTAAACCGGAGTCATCATTTCATCTGTTGTTTTGCTGGTCGGGCTGCGTTCCTCAAATCACACTGGATTAGTGTGTTAGTTTTAATGACATGTAACAAGAGCAGGACAGTTGACTTCTTTGCCACTCGGACGGACACAAAGCAGAGCAGCGATGGGCGGCGGTGAGTTTGTAACCAGTGAACACAGGCTAGCTGAAAAGGCTAATGTTGGTTGTCAAGGACCCTGGTTAGAGGACCACCAGTAACGTTAGGTGGAAGGAGCACAACACCAAACTGAGATCATTTAAACACTAGTAATGTGTCAGTTATTGTTCCGTTTTCACTCAGAATCTAATACGCATTAAAAAATCTCCCAGTTACATTTTAAAAGTCAGATTTGTAAAACGATTCAGACTTACTTTAGCTGTCTTGATAGAATATAAGAAATTGCATGACATTTGATTGTGCCTTAAATTCAATGATATTTTCTCGTCTGTCCTATGGTTTAGCTACCAGGTCTCAGGCCAACAAGTCAGTAATTAAATCTTTAAGCTGTCTTTACAATAGGACCTTGACAAGCTTTGACAAAAAGCAAGTTAGATTTTAAGTTTTTCTTGAACTTTATTGATTGATTTCATTGTGTAAATCTTGAGTTTAAATGTTTAAATGGACTTGCTCCTCAGTCTTTATGAAAAGCCATCAAGAGCAGCTTCAAGTGGCAACTGTAAAGTTTCATTTTGCAAACATCTTTTGCTCAGACTGCCTTTGCTGTGAAAGGAGCAAAGTCTTGTAACTCACTACCTCAACACTTTACAGTCACTGCTGCTAATGTCACCACCTTTTAAGAGAGATGTTAAGCAACAAACTTGTACTAAAACGTACGAATTTGACCTCCTTTAATCTTGTGTTCTTCTGCTAACTTATTGTTCTTGTTTCTTTTTCTCTCACTGTTTTAATGTTTTATTTTTTTAAAAGCCCTTCTAGGGACAGGTGTTGCGAATTAGCAGCTGCTAAAAACGCTATGATACATGCATTTGATTGCTGTTTTCAGTTTATCTATGCAAGCTGTTTCAGTCTCTGCTAAAATAAACCATTAATAAATATCTGTTGTGTGGCGTTATACTTATAGACTTGTAAGGTAATGACTGTTAGCTACATTAAGTTATTGGCACTATTTTCTCCCTTTTCTCTCCTCAGAAAATGTGAGTGTGATCTTCAAAGTGTACTGTCTGACAGTGATGACACTGGTGGCAGCTGCATACACAGTGGCACTACGGTACACAAGGACCATATCAACAGGAGATCTGTACTTCTCCACGACTGCAGTGTGCATCACCGAGATCATTAAATTAATACTGAGTCTGGGGATGTTGTCAAAGTAAGTGTTTGTCGTCGTTAAATGCTCTAGTGTGTACTTGTATATTTTACCCTGAACATGAAAACATGTTTTTGTTATTCCCTTGTAAGTGAAAAAGTGACCAGTTTAGTTGAAAAACAAAGTGACATCTCTAAATTGCTTGTATTGTTCAGACTGACAGCCCCAAAAAGGTAAACCCGAAACATTCAGTTTACTACCGCATAAGAAAAACAGCAAATCCTCACAATTAAGAAATTAGAAGTACTACTAATTAGGTTTTGTATTTCTGCCTGAAAACTTGAAACTCAAAGCAAGTACTATTGGTCAGGTGGCATGTAACAACAGTCAAAAAACTTTATTATCCCACCAGTGGAAATTTGGCTACAGGCAGGTATACCAACACATTCAATCTAGACAGATCACATCAAGGACAGATTACTTCAAATGAAGACAAAAAACATCTGAATGCCGAATGACATGAAGTGCTCAGGTGCAGCAATAACGTGCAAATTCAGGCTACTAATTGCTCAACAAACAAAAGAGGCTTTGTATCTTTTTGTCCAACGAGCAGGAACTTTGAATGGCCTGAATGTAGGAACTCAAACTACCTCCGCAGGGGGTGATCAGGACAGTCCAATATGGCTTGGGCCTTCTTTAGTAGAGGTCAGAGAGCTCTCCCTGATAACTTTAGTGGCCACTTTGGCAAGCTGGCAAAGCCTCTCTTCTTATTGGTCACATTCAGGTTCCCAAACAATGCCACAATACAAAAAGACATAAAAGACTCAGTGGAACCTCCATAGAACAGAGTCATTATTATAGCGTAAACATTAAAATAGTTCATTATTCCCAAGAAGTACAGACAGGGGAGGACGTTTTTATAAATTGCATCTGCATTTGGTTGGAAGCTCAACTTGTTCTCAAACACAGTAACCAACTACTCCACAAGGTCAATTGCATTCCCCTCAATATCTGTCAGTTTTGGTTTGGGTGCCGACTCCCCAACCACGTCCTTGGTTTTAGACACATTTAACTCAGGAAAAGATTTGACACAAAGTCATCAACTACTGGCGCATGACACGGTTTCTCTTCCTACAGGAGGCTTAGTACAGTGTGTTTGTTCTGGTATTGACTTTGGCAGCGGTTTGTGTAAAGAATATAAAAGAGGGAAGACTTGAACACTTCCTTATGGTGAAACAGTGGATAAGTGATGCTTGTCTAAAAGTCTATAATCCGTCCAGTGACAGAAAAGTCCAGGTTAAAGTTGAAAAGAAGTTTCTCTGCCAGCAAATATTGCTGAATAGTATTAAAAGCAGACAAGAAAGTCTACAAACTGAAGCTTAGTGTGAGTCAGTCATTGTATTAGGTAGTTTAGCAAGGTGAGGCATCCTCCGCACTTCTGCCAGCCCTATAAGCAAACTATGGAGGGTCAAGTAAACTCTGGAACAGCTGTAGAACAGCCTTTATAATGTTTTCCTAACTAAAGGGCCAGAGGCCTGAAGTCATTTTAGATCTTTAGGGATCATTTTGGTCAATATTGAGATTACGATTATTTAACATGATTTCTCATTGACTTAGGAAACATCATGTATTTATTGAATTTAAAGTTGAATATATCTTTAAAAACGATTATACATGCATTACCTTAAAAATCCCAAATAGCCCATGAAATAAAACATGGTAAACAGTATTAACTTAAACTTAGACCGCTTTGGTAGGGGCGGATGGGCTCAGAGGGGCTCTATGTGTTAGCGCATACACACAGATTGAGAGGAGCAGAGGAGAGACAGGTGAACTGTAACGTTACATTACCTAACGCTGAAATTCCGCTTGCAGTGTAAAGTGCTGTTGGCTTACATTAAAAATGGTGGCCAACAAGTTATAGTTATAATTCATCTTGGCTTGAGCTGAACTAAACATGACTGAAAAGGGTATCAGCAGCTGTTTTGACACCTATACATATATATTAGAGCCTGACCCATAAATCAGCGTGCCGACATTATCTGTCGAGATGAGCTACAGTCCCCTCCAAAAGTATTGGAACGGTAAGGCAAATTCCTTTTGGTTTTGTTGTTCACTGAAGACATTTGGGTTTAAGATCAAAAGATGAGTAAGAGACGAGTTCAGAATTTCAGCTCTCATTTCCTGGTATTCACATCTAGATGTGTTAAACAACTCAGGACATATCACCGTCTGTTTGAACCCACCCATTTTTGAAGTGAGCCAAACTATTGGAACATGTGACTGACAGATGTGTCTTGTTGCCCAGGTGTTGCCTTTTAGGTTGATTGTCCAAACATTAAATAGCTCTGCATGACTAGTTTTCATCCTTGGTTCAAACCTATAAAGACTGCAATTCCTGTTAAAGAGGATAAACCAACATGAAGTCCAGAGGGGTGTCTGTGGGAGAAAAGCAAGCCATTGTCAAGCTGAGAAAAGAAGGAAAATCGACCAGAGCCATTGGACAAACATTGGGCATAGCAAGCACAACAATCTGGAAAGTCCTGAAAAAGAAAGAAACTACTGGTGTACTGAGCAACAGCCGTCGAACAGGTCGGCCAAGGAAAACAACAGCAGTTGATGACAGAAATATTGTGACAGCTGGGAAGAAACCACCCAAAACATCAGTAAGTGACATGACCCAACAGTGCAGGGGTGAAGGTATCACAATCCACTGTTGGAAGAAGACTCAGAGAAGAAATATAGAGGCCACACCACAAGATGCAAACCACTCATCAGCAGGAAGAATCAGAAGGCCAGATTGAAATTTACAAAGAAGTACAGAGATGAGCTGCAAAAGTTCTGCAACACAATCTTAAGGACTGATGAGACCGAGATTAATCTCTACCAAAGTGATGGAAAGGCCAAAGTGTGGAGAAAGAAAGGAACTGCTTATGATCCGAAGCATATAAGCTCATCTGTGAAGCATGGTGGAGGTAATGTCATGGAACAGGCTCATTAATATTTATTGATGATGTAACTGATGATGGTAGCAGCAGAATGAATAAAAGTGGACAGAAACATTTTGTCTGCCAATTTACGTAGAAATGCATTGAAACTAATCGGGAGGAAGTTTATCATGCAGCAGGACAATGACCCAAAGCACACTGCCAACAAAACATCAGGGGGGAAAAGTAGAAGGTTTTAGACTGGCCAAATCAATCACCTGACCTTAACCCAATAGAGCATGCACTTCACCTCCTTAAGAGGAGACTGAAGGGAGAAACACCCCGAAACAAACAAGAACTGAAAGAAGCTGCAGTAAAAGCCTGGAATAGCATCACAAATGAAGAACGCAACAGTTTGGTGATGTCGATGGGTCGCAGGCTTGAGGCAGTTATTGCAAGCAAGTGTTATGCCACCAAATATAAAATGTTATTTACTTTAAGATTATTTGTTCCATTACTTTTGCTCACCTAAGAATGCTGTGGTCTAATACAAAGGGTGGTATGTCCTGAGTTGTTTAACACATCTAGATGTGAATACCAGGAAATAAAAGCTGAAATTCTGAACTCTTGTCTCTTACTCCTCTTTTGATCTTAAACCCAAATGTCTTGAACTACAAAAACAAAGGAATTTGCCTTACCGTTCCAATACTTTTGTAGGGGACTGTAACTGCAGATAAAGCGTTATCATGTTTATAACAGCCAATAAATGACCATTTAAAAAAGAAACTGAGACAAATACTTCATTTTACGAGTGTTGTAGTTGCATAGTTTGACCAGCAGAGGGCACTGTGCAAGGCTACAAATCCACCACAAAACACAGCAATCAGCTGTACTTTTGTACTATTTATGATAATAAAAATTAAACTGCATTATGTCATGTTATCTTGGTGAGGTCTTGTAACTGTACATAACAAATTTTAGTGATAATCTGTGTTTATGTTATGTGTTCTTGAAAAGACCGACCAATATATTGCATTATCGGATTTTAAAATCCTCAAATGTCAAATTCGGTATCTGTCTTAAAAATCCCATATATATTTTTGATCCTTCCTCTTTCAGAGAAACAGGAAGCCCCGTCAGACTGAAGAACGCCATAGTGGAACATGTTTTCTGCAGCCCAAAAGAACTGCTGAAGCTGAGCGTGCCATCAATAGTGTATGCAGTTCAAAATAATATGGCCTTTCTTGCTTTGAGTAACCTCGATGCAGCAGTTTATCAGGTATGAATTTCAATCTGTTTTCTTCCTGTGTTCCAACAATGGCTGCGTGTGGATCCATTGGTGAATGTGTCTGTGCCCAATAATGTCACAGCTAAATTATCAATTAATCATTTAACCTGTAAAATGTCGGATATGTTGGAATATTTCACACAATTTCTGTCCAAAAAACAGAGATTCAGTTTATTGTTCCCAACCTAAGTTTTAAATTAATGGATTGTACATTTTATTACATTGAAGCAATTCCAAGTTTGAAAATTCCCATGTGTGACAGCGTCCTGATACTATATATTGGCATTTGGCAGAGACAGATGAGTGGCTCATTTCATAGGAGCGTTTGCTGAGTCTGACATGTCACACTCGAAAGAGCCCACTGTATGGAGGGAAAAAAAAGAGCATCTTAATATAAGAATATGAAAATATTCTTACAGGAGCCCCAATGTTTGGAGTTTTGTGATGAAATGATTCATTATCAAAATGGTTGCTGATTCGTCTTGTCTGTCACTCGACTAATCATTGCAGCTCTAGCAAACAAAACTGTTTAAGAGCTTTTTTACTATTGTCTTTTAATACTGTTCTTTCCATTGTGGAAATGAGTTGGTTTAGAGAATTTTATGACTTACTATGTCAAATAAAGCACATTGGCACACTCGTTGCAAAAGATATGCCACGTTGATAGCTGGACAAATAACATCATGCTTATGCTCATGTAATCTTCGGACATGGGGAAAGTAAGTTATGTCAAAGTTTTTCCATGCTCTGATCTTACTGAAATGATGAGGTTGGATACATGACAAAGTGTAGTTTGGCATTTAGCTTAATCCCCCACGACCCTGTACGCAGGATAAACGGTTGACGAAGGATGGAAATGCAACTCCACAGCTGAAGTCTTGAGACTAAAGCCTTTTCAATGAACCACTTTAAAGTTTTGATATTTTTTCTCCTCTAGGCAGCAACAAACAGCTTTTTCTTTATTGACTAATCTGTTGATTGCGGGTTTTTTTTTAATAATTGCCTTAAAGGTTTTAAAGGTTCAGTGTGTAAGTTTTAATGAACAGTGGGTCACGGTGCATTCACGTGCTCCTCAGATGGTCACACACTTTGGTGTGTGATCATGCGCTCTTAAGTCGTAATGTGGAATCAACATGGACGCTCCTACAATGATGTGTTGGATTAGCATCATCAGAGCGTATAAACAACACGCAGATATCTAGTTCACTCTACATGGACAGTAAACAGTTAACACCATATTACAGATTACATGTTTGCAAAATATGTCCTATGTACACTTTATTTCTCTCTTTGCAATTAGGGCTGGGCAATATGTTATCACGACAAAAACATTTCATATTTTTCATTATTTTTGCTCCATAAAGAAACCAGATGGTTAATTATGTGGTTAAACTTTTTTTTTTATGACCAGAATGGGACAAACGCTTGATGCCAAACAGTGGATCACTTAACAAATCTGAGGGAGAACATTCAAAACTATTATGATAAAAAATATTTAACAAATATGATTTAGTAAATCTTTTTTCAGTCCCTTTTCCTCAACAAATTTTTTGTATTTTTTTTGTGATTCAAATGAATTAAAACAAATATTTATTGACGATATATTGAACGTTTATTATATTGATGTGGAGGAAAATTATATTGCGATAATATCATTATTGTTTTATTGAAATAACTCATTCTAAGGTAATAAAAATATAACAGTTCAATAAGGTCTTTATACACTACTGAAAAGATAGTTATGGATATTACATTTCATTTCTGTCTAATAGACCCTCCTAAATATTAAACACTGGACCTTTTTAAATAGTGAAAATGTCTGTTATATGTTTATGTTCCCAGATGCCATGGTGACCTCTTTAAAGTTGTCTAACCAACAGCGAAAAAACCCCACAGATATTATAAAATCCAGATAAATCAATTTCTGACATATGAAAAGCTGGAACCAGTGAATGTTGGACATTTTTTGCTTAATAAATGACTCTCACAATTGATCAGTTATCTGTATAGTTAGATATACACACATTTTCAGTAATTTGACTAATCATTTCAGTACTAGTGGACACATGTGCGCACACAAGACGAAGCTGACAGCCGACTTGGCATTTGGTTTTAGGGTAGAATGCTAACAACGTTAAGCACATTTACAGAAACTAAACTTCCAATACAGAAACATTGACCACTCCAGTGTGCAAAGTTCATGGTTAAATCAAATAGTTGCCCAGTGTTTAATAGTAGTAAACAATAGTTATTCTCAGCAGTTCCCACAACTGTATGTTTGGAGCTGTATCGGTGTGAAAGGAAACGATCAGCCTGACTTGTGTTTTCCTGTGTAGGTGACCTATCAGCTGAAGATCCCGTGCACGGCCTTGTGTACAGTCTTCATGCTGAGCCGCTCTCTCAGCCAGCTGCAGTGGTTCTCTGTTTTCACGCTCTGCGGGGGCGTAACACTCGTCCAATGGAAGCCTGCAGAGGCCACTAAAGTTCAGGTGGGGGTGTTAAAATGTAAATGTTCCAACCATCCTGGTGACTCAGTGATTTATAATCCATGTGCTGTGACTCACACTATCATGGAATCGGCTTTTTTATTACCTGCACTCCTCTGCAGGTGCTTTTTACCATCAGTGTGGTGGCTCATGTCATTTCCTTTTTTACAGATTGAGCAAAATCCTTATGTTGGGTTCGTGGCCATCGCTATTGCTGTCCTTTGCTCTGGATTTGCAGGTAAAATTGGGACCGGATTCTGTGGAAAAGACTGGGTGGCTTCACCTTTTTGTCCTGTGATTGATTAAGCTACCACACATAATACAAATACTTCCAGTAACCAAAACCACTGTGATAAGTGAAGACGTTGTGTGTAATCAAACACAAAACTGATGTCTCTTGCTTAAAGTAAATTATTTTATTTGCATTGCTGGTGTCGTGGAGGATTCTGTCATCTTGTTTTAAACGTATTGTAATTTGAAATATCCAACATTAAATATTTGTGAATATTTACTTGCATCTCACAGCTTTGTGTCTACTTTCTGATTAAGGTGTGTACTTTGAGAAGGTGTTGAAGAGCTCAAACACGTCTCTGTGGGTGAGAAACATCCAGATGTACCTCTCCGGCATTGTGGTCACCCTGATCGGTGTGTACATGAACGATGGCGATAAAATCCTGGAGAAAGGCTTCTTCTACGGTTATACACCCTGGGTGTGCTTTGTAGTATGTAAGTTTGACTAAACCTCAGTGCATTTTCTATTTGATTGCACATTATTTCACAGTATTTAAGCTGACATTGCTCTTCGTGCTTCCAGTCTTGGCCAGTGTGGGTGGTCTATACACGTCGGTGGTGGTGAAGTATACAGACAACATCATGAAGGGCTTCTCTGCTGCAGCCGCCATTGTTCTCTCAACTGTGGCATCTGTCATCTTGTTTGGGCTACAGATAAGTATGTTACTTTGTCGTTGTTGTACTGATTGAGAAATGGATTTTATTAGCTTTTGCGGCCCGTTCTGGTTCATCAGGAAGGTTGTGTGTTTTGTGCCTGCATGGTTGTGGATATTTGCACATTTTTAATAAAGGAAGCCAGCTGCATAACATTTAGCATAGTAGTAAGTAGCATAACTGAAAGTTCTTTCTTTTTAAGATATTTTTGGGCATTTTTAAGCCTTTATTTGACAGGACAGTGGATAGAGCGAGGAAATGAGGGAGAGAGATTATGGGCGACACGCAGCAAAGGGCCACAGGCCAGACTCTAACCCGGGCAGCTGCAGTAAGGAGTCAGCGTTGTACATGGGGCGCGTGCTAAACTAAACGAGCCCGCTGAAAGCCCCCTCTTTCTAATATTTCTACAAAGGGCAGAGCAAATTGGTACTTATTATAGGGGAAATGGAAACCGCCTTCAATTGATACACTTTCAATTAATTATTGGTATATCATGTAAAATGTGCCTACTAGGAAACGATACAACAAATATGGACAATAGAGTTTCCAATAATGACTGTATGAATATTTATTTTGGGGGGGGGGGTTTAAAATGAGCTTTTCCTTGCCGCAAACAACTGCAATAACTTTGTCTCTATTTCCCCTAAAATTATGACCAAATCACATAGTTCTTTCCGCGAAACACAGAAAATGACCTGAATTATTAGGAAATTACAGAACAGTGTCTTTCAAAGCAGACTCATACACACAAGACCACAGATTATTTTATACAATACTGTCTGAAACTTTTGTAAATTGACAAATGTCCCAATTAGCTTTTCTTTCCCCTCTTGTGTAGCGACCTCGTTTGCCTCTGGAGCAATCCTGGTGTGTGTTTCCATCTACTTATACGGACTTCCGAAGCAAGACACATCCACGCTGAGCCGGGAAGACACAGACAGGGAATCCAAACAGAGACTGATCAACGTGTGAGTGGATGACCTGCAGCAGAGGAGTCTCTCTCGCTGGTGGAACACGTCTGTGATGGGCCAAGTCACGTTTTCTGGGGACCTAAATGAGTTCCTGCAGCGGGGAGATTAGGGAGCCACTCCCGATAAAACAAACACCCAGTTCAGTTGACTATGTTCAGTTCATCACATAGACCACAGCTTGTGTGGCACTTAAATTTAGGTCTGTGTCCTCAATCCAGTCCAGTTTCACTCATATGGGACTGGTTACAGTACTATGACTTTCAGTATAATTTGTAATGTTTATAATGTTAAATGTTCTTAATGCCAGATTCAAGCCTTTCAGTTGATTTAAAAAAGACTTTTTTTTTTTTTTTTTTATACTAAAGTATACTTATCACTCCAGCATGGCTTAAAATTAATTACAAAATCCAATGTAGGATTGCTTGGGATTATTTACGAATTGTATGTTGTAATTATAATAGCTATGATGGAGTATTCGGGCCACATTGGGGGGGGGGAATTATCGAGAATAAATTTCAAGTGCCATTTTGAGAATAAAATTGAAATGATGAGAATAAAATTAACTCCATCAAATCACGTTAGACTGTCCACCACACCAGCTGCCGTGTAGGCTACATCATAGACAGCTTTTGCTTTCAGTTAATACAGTTGCACCTCTTCAGAAACTCCCCTTTCCACTCCAAGGATGTTACCATATGTCTATGATGCATTCAAAAAATGCAACATAAATTTAAAAAATCTTCATCCTCAATTATCCTTCCCCTTAACGTGGCCCTAATACTCCTTCGTAGCTAGCTGCTTTTAAAGTTTGTAAATCTGAAGCATTTGGCGAAGTCCTGTATTTATAAGTCCTGAATTTTCAGCCATGCTGGAGTGATAAGTCGTAACAGGACATTGTTGCTTTTTTATGCCTCCATATCGGCTCCTCATCAGTATTACATCTCAAAGTATACACATTAAACAGGATTATGTTTTATACTGTGCAATGTTAGTATCATATGTCCACAGTGTTGATACAGAGTGTTCCCACCTCACATGAAAACTTGGGTGAAGGATGATAATGAATTGCATATGTGATTATACATTTATATCATCTCTCCAGTGTCTTGTAATATTTTAGGCTTTGTGTTCCTCCATATGCTGAAGCAGGGCATATGGGGCTGCAGCAAGAGTGATACTCACACGTTTGGATGGTGACTTTTTTTTTAATCCTTTAGTCTTTTACCACAATATCATGTCACACAACCTAAAAACTAATGCGAATACAATAATCATGCAGTTAATTGTTGAAACTGTTTCAGAGGTGTTCATTCGACTTCATGGTAATTTTGGAGGCTGCAGTTGGTCTTGAACTGTGTTATGTTATACTGACAAGTGTTTTTATTAATGTGCCTGCTAGATTCCATTCAACATTTTACAGTAAACTGGTAAAACTCAGCTGAACCTGTTGTACCAGTCTTACATTAAGTTTCCTATTGACGACATCAGTGAGTCAGCTGTGAGTATAAAAGTTATTTCACTCAACTGATTTAACACATTTCAAAATGGTCAAAAGTGAAACTGACAAGCAACTTTTCCCAGATCACAAGCTGTGCGAGTGTAAAACAACAGAGACAATAACAGGAAAAGCTCATTCTTCTGTGGGTGAAACGGAGTTCAGTTGTTAATACTATTATATATTTTTATTTAAAAATATAATGCATTTAATTTACAGTACAAATTAACTATAGCGGTAGGATACATACAGCTCTGAATTAACCTTAAGTAACAACAACCTTTGAGTTTCACATTTTATCAACCGGTGTGATGCCCAGGATCCTCATCCCGTTGGCCAGGACCGAGCAGGCTCCGCTGAACAGTCTTAACCTTGCCTGTTGACATTCAGCAATATGCGATTAACACTTACATGTACACGTCTTTAATTTGAGATATTAAGAGCATTTTCATTTGTTGGAACCAGTTCATTAACATCAGGGTTCAGGCGTTTTTCTCTGCATTATGTGGCTGATTTTCTGTGCAATGAAGCAGACGTTGGGATGAACAACAAGCACCTGCATCATCTGATCAGATTATTTTCTTGTAGAAGTCTGTACGTAAAGTATGTTTTTTTTATTCTTGGTACACAGATAATGTGTATTACTGTATGTTTAAAGCAAGACTCTCTAACCTTTGAAAAAAAGAGAATCCTTTTCTTACAAATCAAAAGTAGAATTCATAAGCAATGAAACACATCATTTATATTCACTAAAGGGGTTTTGGCAACACCCGTCTTGATCTGGTGTGACCAATAGCTTATGGTGGCTAATGTTAGCAGACATTAGATATTTATTGCAGTGTGAGTCAATTTCCTTGCTTGATGACTCTTCTGTACTTGTACAGCAGTTAATGTTTAGCTTTACCACCACCAATGCAGAACTAGAGTTTAATTGTTACGAACATAATCACAATTTGCAACCTTTTGCAGAAACATAGTATACTGGAAATCTCCATTTGTACCACAAAATAATCTATGCATGTCATAATGTGTGGCAAAAAAAAGTTTCACTGCTGAGGCTGATAACCACATTGGTGATTTTGAGGTTTATTTAAAGTAATTTGTGCCCAATGTCCTTAGGGTGAAAATGATTTTCTGATCGTCTGATGGGGCCTTTAAAGCAAAAACCATGGCTATGTGCAGAAGTGATTTTCTCTCTACCTGTGCGACATCCTCGGAACTTCCTTTCACCGGCAGCTCTCTGTGTGCTGAGGCGATCAGGTGGCTAGAAGAGATTGGAGTGTAAGAAAACGAGTACAAAGTTTAATTTCCACACCACCTTTTTCTTGTTACACTGGCTGTAATGAACCAGGTACACATGGAGCAGCAAAAGTTTTCAGCACCATGACCAAACCCCTGAGGGCTAACATCCTATTCCTTACCACAGCTTCAATAAAAAGTTGACAAGGTGCTTGGGTTGCAGATCCTGGGCCGACCGGTACAACACCTCATCATAACTATAAACAAACGAGTTAAGCAAATATTGACACAACATTGACTGCTTCTTTCATTATCTCATATTTGACGACGTGCAGAGGAATTAAGTGATGAGAAGTAGTTTGCTTACCGAAGGAGGTGCTGCAGGATGGTGATGCTCGTCTCCTCAAGTAGAAGGGATGAATCAAAGATGCCTGCCTCTAAACCTTCATTCCTCCGGATTAAACTGTAGTAAGAACACAGCAATAAATGGGCAACTGTATAAATCAGTATCTTGTATCTCGTTTTTCTGGGAATGTTTGTAGGGTGTTTGTATCCAAAACCATATGGATATTGCTAAATATCGATAGATAAATATCTTGTTTTGTGCGTTTTTAAGACTAAATTCCAAGAATGACTGTAGTAAATTAACTTTTGTATTTTATATTGCAAGCAAACAATTCATTAGAGGAGAACAGAAATTGGCTAGTTTTGTGTTTAAAAAAGAAAAACAGGCAGAATTTTGGTTCTTGGTGGTGCAAGTGTTGAGCAGTGTTAATAAGGAGGTACTTTTACTTGAGTATTTCTATTTTATGCCACTTATATTTCTCTACATTTCAGAGGCAAATTTACTTTTTACGCCTACACTACAGTCATCTTGAGCTGCAGTTCATTGTTACTTTGCAGATTTCACACTCAAAACATACGATTCGTTTTATGTTATCAATTAAATCCAGCAGCATAAAATGAATTATTGATTAAATAGATCACTATAAGCCGATGATTACTATAACTGAATTATTTTTTCTTTTTATTTATTTCTTATGCAGATTACCATCTAATTGACATTGTATATTTATTAACTTGATATAAAGTAATTAAACGTACAGCTTTGCTATTTGACAGTTTCAAAATACAGTGCAGCTGTTTCAAACATGTTTCAAATTACTGTACAAATTAAATCTCTGAACTGTGAAAAATTGAGCCGTTTACAAATACAGTAAATAGTGCAAATAGGCAACTAAGCCGCAGCTTGCTGGTGGTTTCAGTGCATTTCTGAATCTAAATTTAAAAAACAGGTCTGCAAATAAACTGTAGGCTATCACTGTAGAACTGGTAACAGTTTGAAAACAAATGCATAAAATATTCAGATTTTTTTTCCCCCCATATGTTTTTAATGTTTGAATAAAATGAACACTGTAAGCCGACTACTTTATTTAAACAGCATCTGCATAGGAATGAATCTTTCCCAAGTTTTTGATCCATATAAGAGAGGTTGATCACTGTAACCGTTTTCCACTGTACTAGAATTCCTAAAATAGAGTTTCTGTATTTTCAGCTGCTGGTGAGTACAGACCTGCAGAGTCGAGCATGCGAGTACTGGAGGAAGACTCCTGTGTCTCCCTGAGCCTGCAGCATCCTGTCCCAGTCAAACGTGTAGTCGGACTGCAGTGGACCTTTGAAATCCTGAAATAATGCCAATGAATGCAAACAAACTAAGAAATGAAACGGGTAGTAGTCTAATATTTGACTGAATAGTGGAGCCTAGGTGGTGAGGTTTAAAACCGAATTACCTGGACTATTAGTGCACCGATTCCAACTTTCTCTGCTGTGTCCTCCGGATCTTCCATTTCCTTTGTTGCTGTGGAAAGAGCCAAATACAGGTTCATTATTCCCACATTGGGCAGTTTTTCTTAGTACCATCATGCACATTTGCCATTTAAAGAGACTGAGATGGGTAATGTTGGTTTGCTTCTCTTACTAGGACAATCACGGTAGTTCAATATCCCAGCTGAATGAATTTCTAATGTGCCATCACTAAAATGATTCTGATATAATGGAAAAACTAGTTATCCTAAATTACACGGTGGTTGAGACATCTGGAAGCATCCGTGTTGAGCTGTAGGTCTTTGTATGAAAGAGTACTATATACTAATCTAATCTACTACTAATCCTTATAGTGTGATATACTGAATTTGCAGTTGGAGGAGAACATATATGAAGAATATAGAAATGAAGACTTGCACCGCCGCCTGTGAGGCCTCAATCCAACTGTGTATGTGTTCTTTTATTTTTATGAGTTTTGTTACCACAATCCATGATTAGTTTTAATTTCTTCCAGCTGTGAGCAGTTCCTCCATTTTTTTGTGCACTGCATTGTGGGTGAATGGCATCTGTCACCAGCACACTTAAAAAATGTTTTTTTTTTTAGTATACAAAATGAATAATTGTTACTTTTCCAGTGTGAATGCACATAGAATGAGTTTGTAGTGTGTACTTGGGGCACAGATCAAATGTCCCAACACTACTGGAAGAAATTGGAAGAACAGTGCCATCATCCTGTTGTGTGACGCAATCAGAAAACAGCAGAATTCACACCAAATAAGAGTGTGTCTGAGGGAAACTCTGTAAAATGAAGTGTAGAGATGTGTAGACTGCCAGTGCTCACAGGGAGGGTCTCATTCCTAGAAGATGATCTTACAAATGTGTGTAAAACAAATTAATTTGCATTTCAATACCACAATGTGTCCACACTGCATGCGCCAGTGGTTTGAGCAAGGAAGTATTGCACGCAAATGTACTTTTGGAAAAGAGTCATGTGTGCTCTGCATTGCCAAACAACTGCCTAATGTATGACAGGCTTTACTTTTTGATTGGCTCATGTTGTGTAGCATCCTGGCCCGAGCTTCCTCCAGCACATCCTCCAGAAACACCACATCGCCGCTCCGGGTCTTCATGCCCCGTACCAGGCCAAAAGGCACATGCTGACACCTGCAACCAGTGGTGTTATTAATATCCTTTACTTCAGCAAAAGCTATGTGCACCATAAAAATGTTACAAAGTAAAATTCTTCAAAATGTTGCTTAAGTAAAAATGCAGTATTATCAGCAAAAATGTACTTAAAGTCTTAAAAGTAAAAGAAATTATGCAGAATGGTCCTTTTATTGTTTACTGATGCATCAATGTTTAAGCAATTTAATGTTGAAATTGGTGGAGGTTCATCCCTTTAAAGACTGTTGTGTATTGATATACATATATCAATTTATTATATATTTTGAAAGAAAATGTTTAGCTTCACAGTAACCAGTGAATATAAAAAGGTATAAAAGTAGCATAAATGTACATAAAATACCTCAAAATTATGT